CGATATGCTTAATGTCAAAAGAGTAAGGGGCTAGTTTTGAGACCCACCTTTGTTCACAGGCATCAAGTTTTGGCTTTGACATTATGTAAGTAAGCGGATTGTTGTCAGTCCAAACTGTAAAGGTGTGCCCTTTGAGCCAATGGCTGAACTTTTCGCACACGCTCCACTTCAAAGCCAGAAACTCAAGCCTGTGAGCAGGATACTTTTTCTGTGACACACTCAAGGTCTTGCTGGCGAAAGCAATAGGTCTGGCTATTTCTTCCCCTGCTGGAACTTGGGAAAGCACGGCGCCAAGCCCATCCAAAGATGCATCGATAGAGAGAATGAGTGGTTTTGAGAAATCAGGATGTGCTAGAACAGCACATTTCAACAACTTCTCCTTAAGCATGCTGAAAGCAACATCGCACTCATCTACCCAGTCACTGGGATTCAGCTTCCGAAATGTGCCAACATGCTTCCCAGATCTCCCTTTACCTCGTCTCTTTTGACCTGCAGTTAGAGCAAAGAGGGGCTTAGCAATCGCAGAACAATTAGGAATGAAATGTTGATAGTAAAAAATCATTCCTAAAAACGACTTAATTCTTTTTGGTGATGGAGTGCAACCATCCTCCTCCATGAGCTGTGACTTGGACATTTTAGATATAACATCTACCTTAGCAGAATCCACAGAAATGCCGCTTCCAGAAATAATATGGCCTAAAAATTTTACTGAATCACGCAAGAACTGGCACTTCTTGGGACTCAACTTTAGGCGATGCATCCTAAGCCGGTGGAAAACTATTTCCAGCCTGTTCAAAGCTTCTTCCTCAGTAGATGCAAATACAAGTAAATCATCCAAGTAGCAGAGTAAGCTGCTAAAGTTCATGTCTCCAAAAATGCTAAGCATCATCCGCATGAATGAAGCTGGGCTGTTGCACAAACCCTGGGGCATGCGGTTGTACTCATGTAGCCCCATAGGAGTAACGAAAGCGGTGTACTTCTTGTCCTGTTCCCTCATAGGCAAATTATAAAATCCTGAGGTTAGGTCCATCGTACTGAAGTAATTATTACCTCCTAAAGCAGCCAAGCAGTCCGACTGATGGGGGAGTGGGTGAGCATCTTTGAGCGTTCTTGCATTAAGCCACCGAAAGTCTGTACAAATGCGAAGACTTCCATCTTTTTTCCATACAAGCACTAACGGTGATGCATATTCGCTGACAGATTTTCTAATAATCCCTTGCTCCTCCATTTCAGTTAGCGCTTGCCGCAGTTTTTGGTAATGGGCAGGAGGAATCCGACGATATGGTAATCGGAAAGGCCTCTCATCTGTAAGTCGTATACAGTGTTCAAATTCCTTGGCTTCGCCACAATCTAACGGATGTTTAGAAAAGACATCATTGTACTTGATCAATAACTGAACAAGTTTCTCCTTAGATGCATCCGTGACTTTGCAGAGATCGATGTCAATTTCATCCAATCCAACATCATTTAGTTTTGAATTTGAAGTACAACTTGTATTCGGTTGTGTCTCTGAATTAACCATCTGTATCTTTCCAGTGCCCTGCAAGATGGGGAAATCCTCGACAGCCAGACAAGGTGAAACATCTGCCAGTATACGATTTTTTCTCAGTGTGACAGGTAGGTCAGATAAGTTGGTTATTTTCATAGGAACCCACCTATCACCCCACATAGATGTTATCACCCGTGCAACCATGATGTTTCTTGGCATAGTCTTGGAAGTTGTTGGTTCAACCAAAATAGTGCTCCCTAGGGACAATGGAGTCTTACTAGGCAGTCGACCCCACACTAAATGTTCTTGTCTAGCAGCAAGAGTAACAGCACGCTGGAGTTTTACTGTTCCAATCTTGTGAGGGATCTCATCATGTCGCCAGCGTGTGATATTTGACATCACATCCAAAAAGTGTTCCCCTTCCTGTGATAGCTGTGTGGGACTCTGTGATATGAAATCCCAGTACTCATCAGTGTTCTTCATTTTGCTCACGATGTGTTTTATCAAGTTAGTACCAAGAATCAAATCATCGTGCTGACCTGGGACCACAAGAATTGGAACTCGACAGCAAATGCCATAAACTTTCATGTTAACTTCGTACAAACATTTTGGTTGCGCCGTCCTACCTCCAACACCCACAAGAACAATATTCTCCGGGAGTGCTCTCTTATCCAAAACAGCGTTTTCAGACAGCAACTTTTGTTCGGCTGCTTCACTTAGTGTACAGGACATAGAGCCGGTGTCAAGCATTCCGTTCAAGTGGAAGTGATCATTCAAAATCACAGAGGTATAGAATAAATCGTCAAAAGGCCTTATTTTCTGTATATTTTGTGTGTATATAACATGAGTACCATCAGAAACTGCATTACATGCATTCTCATACTGTCGTTCCAGATCCATCATGAGGGTTTCATCATCACCCACACATCCCCTCACCGAATGTGGGTCTAATGGTTTAACGGACCAGTTCCTTGTGAGGAGTAGTTTACGTCTGGACTGTGTCGACTACTCCAGTTTGGGCACTCTCTCTTTCTGTGTCCATATTCAAAGCAAGACAGGCACAAACCTTCTCTTCTGCAATGCGCTACTGTAGAATGATTAGTAGCTCTGCACACTTTGCAAAACATCCGTCTCGCATTCGCATGTCTATAATCTTCAGGTACAGATGGAGTCTGTGCATTTTGTTTCAGCACACGATCAAGCAGATTGATAAGAGACTGTGTGCAACTGTCGCTTGACTGAACTGATGGTGGTAACGGTGACACATTTTGACCTGCTGATACATCTGGTTCATTCCCAGACAATTCACCATCCAAAGTCGGTGCTTGAGCATAAGTGGCAACAGGCTTCATAAAGGCAGAACGATTAGACTGTGCCTTCATCTGCGCTCTTTTCTCAGCTTGAAATTCATCAAGGCGTTCTTGTATTTCAGCTGCAGTCCATTTATCAGCAGTCTTAAATTTTAAGATGGCAGAAAGAGAATGATCAGGGCAGTATTTAACAAACATCATCGTCACTTCACGGTTGGGATCTTCAATACTTCGTCCCTGTCTCCTCAAACACTCATCTGCTATATCAACAGCTTTATTAAGCCGAATCCAATACTCCATAGCAGTTTCTCCTGGAACAGGTAAGGTACCATAAAAATCAGCTAGCGGCATCGAAGAATATGTCAAGTCACTGAAATGTTGCTTTAGTATGTCTGTGACAACTCTTGGGTCTTTTTGTGGCTGCAATAATGGGTTGCTACGAAGAGTAATCTTTATTATATCTTTGGCTCTGCCTGTTAAGTTCGACATAATTTCATCAGCTTGTTCAGGTAGAGGGATGCCTTTCTTTCTCAGATAAACGTTCATGAGTTCTTCCCACTCATGTACTGTCAATTTGTCAGATCCATCCCCTCTGAAGCAGGGGGGTGCCTTAACATCAGGCTTCATAACCAGCTTCATACCAGTTAAATTGAGAGACGGTGACTCAGTGAGAACCTGGCTTGTTCTTATGCTCTGTGGTTGATTATCAATAGTTTCGTTCTTTTCGCTACCTTTTTTCAGCTGATCAGATATTGACTGACCTATTTGTTGAGCCAGCTGTGTGATCAAATTACTCAGGTCAGTGTTACTGCACTTATTATCATGTGACTCAGCATTTACACACTGTTCAGTATTGTGCACCCTATCAGAAGTACGGGTAGAGCAAAAATTGGGACTACCAAAATTAACAGCTCTTCTTAGTGGGGTATGTCCAAGTTCACCAAAGATACGCCCCCTAGCAAAACCCAATTCAAACCCATTACTAGCTGAAAGATCTGTCTTCTCACCCTCTTGTGACATCTTAATTAATAATGATCACCAAAAATAAACAGTTGATAAAACAAAAAAAATAGTCAGATCATTAACGTAAAATTAATTCACAAGTAATTGTTTTTTTTTTTCTTTCTTTTTTTTTTTTTTTTTTTTTGTCCTTTATATTTTTTCTACTGTCTTTGGTAAGATTAATTTCAAACTTTCAGCCTTCTTTTTTTTCTGTATGCACGGGTTAATGTCCAACCTCTTCCCTTTTGACACAGATACCAGCAGAAATCAGATGTCCAACGATGCAGTATACCCCGGCGACCAAACTGGCGTTGATCAAGCAGAATCCATGATGACACATCAGTTGAAAGTCACGGCACCAATGTGACCGGTCCTCGCTTTACTCTGCGTTGTGTTGTGATTAGGCGAAAGGAACCAGTCATATGGGAATTAACAGGCTTTTATTCTGTATGAATAAAGCAAACAAATGGCAAAGCTGAGTATATGTGCCTTCCTTAGGAGCTCACCAACCTCTCCTCAATCGCGTTTGCCGCGAACTGACATAAATAAAGTTGAAGTGTGTTTAACATACACCAAAAAAAGAAACATTATACATAAATTCAAAAACATAACAGAAGCATAAACACATATGTAAACACATACCTGTATGAATAAAGCAAACAAATGGCAAAGCTGAGTATATGTGCCTTCCTTAGGAGCTCACCAACCTATTAGTGAAAGGGATAATTCTCACTACAAAGCTTGCACATTCATGCTTATAAACTTTACCCACAATACATGCCTCATATACATTCAACCCCTCATACATGTTTAAACATCAATGTAATGCAATTTAGAACACCATTACATGTGTTATTATGATAAACAACACTTATATGTTATATTTTAACCGGAGCTTCAGTAAAACTCACCTCTCCTCAATCGCGTTTGCCGCGAACTGAGTGAGAGCAGGCGGAACCGGAAAACGACACTTAAAGGGGCCACGCGCAATTTTCCAAAATACACCAACACATTGAAAACAAACACAACTATGATTTCATTAACTCTGAAATATAAGATATATAAAGAACAACTTTGAAAATACACAATTAAATAAAAATAATTGATGAGTAACAAGGAGAATTTTGAGTGAAATTAATAAAAATAATATAACACCTGTTACAGTTGCTATGCAGCAGGACCACGCGTCGTTGCCAAGAGGAAACGGAAATAAATCAAAAGCAGCAAATTTTTCCTACTCCTATTATTATACTTATTATTATCCTCATCATCTCGATTTCAGAGCTATAATATTAACCCTTAAACATTTGTATCTACTATTGTGAGACTTTAGCGGTATTTTGGCGTTTTGAATCCAGCAGGCGTGTGTTTTAACAGCACTACGGCGCATCACTAGCCCTCGTCCCGCACCAGGGAGTGACACACAAACACAATGGAAGGACAGAGGCAGCATTGATAAGACCGCTACTACATCTGTGCCTTTAACCAACCTGCTAATGAAGCGGCACTAATGTGAATCTGCTATATTTGAAGTGCAGGCCGGTGATGCATTGAGAATCGATATCCGCTGTGATAAATGCATCCGAATCTGCAGCAGGGGCATTAGGAGTTTATTATCTTTAGATTTCAGATCTGCAATGGATTTCCCTTACGACCTGAATGCGCTTTTCCCCGAGAGGATTTCAGTGTTGGATAGTAACTTGAGTGCAGGTCGGAAAGCGCATGGGAGGTAATGTATGCTCTAATGTCAGCCACTATGAGAAATGGGTGGAATCTGGTTCGCTACATGCACTGCTTTTGTCTTGTAAATGTGGTTGACAGCACTGTTGTGCTTTGTACATACATTGCTGCCAGTAGGGGGGTTAGGAAGATGTTTTATTAGGATAAATGTAGTATTTTGTTTAAATCATCTTTGTAATCTCTTTGTTGTGGGCTAATAATAAGCATATTGCTTTATAATAGAGCTTGACGTCAGATAATGCCAATGCCAATGCATCCCTAAATAAGAAAATGTTTAAATAAGAAATGTGATATTAGTCTGTTATAATCTGCCATTGGTGTAATCTGAACATTGCTGATTCAGCAAGACAGCCATGGACTATAAGAAATATTCAACGCTATAAGCAACCACACCATGACAGATAGACAGTTAAATATATAATTAAATTATGTATTGGATTCGTAATGATTGAGGTAAAGTTGGTTTAATATTCACACAGTCAGATTTTTTCTTTAATAAGATAATTTCAGAAAAGTAAGCAAAATCTAAATAGTGTAATCATATTAGCAGCCACTGACTATCAAAGTACAACATTGTTTACAGTAATAGTTTTATATTTGCACATTTGTTCATGTTTAACCAATGACAAAAGTACAACATTGTTCAGTCAAATAAATAGTTCTAATGTTGTTTTCAAGTCATACTTGCATGCAATCATGCACCGAGTATTCAAAGTATCCTGGTAAACAATGCAGGGAGCGTGTCACAAGATGTCACTGAACGAATGGGAGAATATAAAACCAACTTTACCTCAATCTACATATTCACAGTTTACCAGACATGCTTTCATACACGGTAAAGTTGATTTTATATTCGTACATTCGTTCAGTGACAACTTGTGACAAGCTTTATATATTGTTTTCATGGTACTTTGAATATTTTGGTGTGAAATTGCATGTAAATATGACTTTAAAACAACATAGCACTTTTTAATTTACATTATGACTTCCCTAAATAGAATTTACATAGAACACTTTTCTAAAACTATATTTTTAAGGAGAAAGTGAGAATGTGGAGATTTAAAACCAACTTTATCTCAACTTCGTAATGCACTAAATTGATCCTTATTACACTTAACTTTTTATGCTGAAAGTACATTTGAATCTAAATTAAACAAACATGTTGATAAAGAAATATTAGAGGTTTATTAAAAAGGCGTGTTTGTTGCAGTTTTGATAAAAAAAAAAAGATAATTTCTGATGGGTTATTGAGGTCATGAATTCAATAACCTCTGAGCAATCCAAGAAAGCTAATAACATTTTAAGTAAAACTTTTTAATTATAGAAATAGTAAACGCTGGAATTTGTGGTATTTTGTCAGCTTAGCAAACAATGCATTATAAGCTGCATTTAACAATTTTAAATGTGTGTGTGTGTGTGTGTGTGTGTGTGTGTGTGTGTGTGTGTGTGTGTGTGTGTGTGTGTGTGTGTATGTGTGTATGTGTGTATGTGTGTATGTGTGTATGTGTATATGTGTGTATGTATGTATGTATGTATGTATGTATGTATGTGTGTGTGTGTGTGTGTGTGTGTGTGTGTATATATATATATATATATATATATATATATATATATATTTATTTTTAATTAACCAAATATTAATTTCCAACTCTAAAATAAAAATCGTAATTGAATCGCAGCAAGACATTTTCCTGTAAATTCATTAGCAAAAAACACTTTTAGCAGTTTTTAAAGGGAAAGTTCATACAAAAAATAAAATATATATAATTACTCACCCTCATGTCGTTCATCTTTGTTTATCTCCGGAAAACAAATTAAAAGAGCTCTCTGACTCTACATAAACAACAAGTTTAAAGTTACGAGACGTTTAAAGTCGAGAAATGTACTAAACATATCCTCAAAACAGTCCATGTTTCTTAAGTGATTCAATTGTAATGTTATAGCTGCAAGAATATGTTTTTTTGTACATACTTTTGTCTTTTTATTTTGTTCAATGGCTGTTCACTAATTAGGGGTATACACAGGCTAAACAAAATTAATACATGTGGCCCTTGAACATACGTTAAGACAGGGCTGGGCCAATAAACAATATTATATCGAATCGCAATGAAATTAATGTTACTCTGAACTTTTTTGCTCTATATTGTTCTTAGAACCAATCACAAAGCAGAAATTTACAACAATGGGAATCTAGAAGTGTGTTTATATTGTGTGCTCTGTGATGCTCTGAATTTTCGGCCACCAAATATTTATCAGCCGTTTAATGAACCCTCTAAGTTTTGTATTTTCAGTCATTGTTAGGGTACTCTTTTTAAATCTGGAAGCATTAACAACTGATATTAAAATATATATTATAGATGTTATCGTTCAATGTGGAAAATAAATATCGAGATTGCATTTTAGCCACATCACCCACCCCTACATTAAGGTCTTTTTATTAATATAAATTGTATTTTTTAACACCTACCCTCACTCTAACCCTAAACCCAACCGGTCACAGCACTGTAAAAATATTATCGTTATACGGTTTCATAAAAAAAATGCTGCTATATTGATGTGTGTATCACACTTCTGGTCATTCATTCATTTTCATCCGCTATTCCATGGCCGGGTCACGGGAGCAGCAGTCTTAGGAGAAAACCCCAGACTTCTCACTCCCCAGACACTTTCTCCAGTGTGTTCTGGGTCTTCCCCAAGGCCTCCTCCTGGTGGAATATGCCTGGAACACCTCCCTAGGTAGGCGTCCAGAAGGCATCTGAAACAGATGCCAGAGCCACCTCAGCTGACTTTTCTCAATGTGGAGGAGCAGCGATTCCACTCCAAGCTCCTCCAGGGTAACAGAGCTCCTCACCCTATCTATCAGGGTGCGCCCTACCACTCGGCGAAGGAAACTCATTTCGGCCACATGTATCCAAGATCTTGTCCTTTCGGTCATGATCCAACATGGTGAGAGTAGGAACGTAGATTGACCGGTAAATTGACAGCTTTGCCTTTCGCCTCAGCTCTTTCTGTACCACAATGGACCAGTACATCAACCACATTTCTGCTGCAACAATCCGTACGTTTAATCCTTCCCTCACTCGTGAACAAAAACCCCAATATACTTGAGGTCCTCCATCTGGGTCAGGGTCTTTCCTCCAACCTGGAGATGGCAAGCCACCTTTTTTCTGGTTGAGCACCATGGCCTCGGACTTGGAGGTCCTGATTCTCATCCCAGACAGCAAACAGCCCCAGTGCATGCTGAAGCTCCATGCTTGATGAACAACATCAGAACAACATTGTCTGCGAATAACAGAGAAAAAAAACATACCAATTATTTAACTTAATAGGAACTTGAATAAGATTTATTTTTAATAATATTTAATAATTTTATTTTGCTTGAATTAATTTTTTTAGCACCAGCAGCCATTGACTTGCATTTTATGAATAACCAAAGATAATGTTTTCAGCTTAAGAAAGGCGTAATCTACATCTTAGATTGCTAGAAGGTAGTAAGTTAACAGAAAACTTAAATCATTCAGAGAAATGTCTCTTTTAAAAATACACTGGAATGAGCATGTCCCTTCTCTTAGAACATATCAGCAAATCATGATTCATTAATATGATAGAACAAAGATCTATTGGCTTATTAGGAAAGTAGGACAAGCCATTTAATATGTTCCAAGCCCAATTCATTATGCAATATGTCAACACAGCAGAGAAATAAAAGAAAAGTTACCTTTTTTTCCATTCGATGACGTCAATATTTGCTAATGGAAAATTGCTCAAATATATTGCAAATCTTAATATAGTGTACACTGTGACCTACATAAATGTTATCTTAAGCACGCATTGTCATTTTAATCCTTCTGCCTGTGAAATTCCTAACATATCTGCTTTTTGTTCTCCAGACCAGATCCTCTTCCACAGGTCACCACAGTTATAGACGAGCTAGGCAAAGCTTCCTCGAAGGTAATAATGGCTGTCTTTTGTCTCTTCTTGAGCTTGCAGATGTCAGTCAGTGTCAGTTCAGTTTATCATCATGTTGTGTGTGTGTGTGTGTTTATCTTCTCAGGCCCAGCAGCTGCCTGCGCCTATTACCAGTGCTGCAAAGCTCCAGGCCAACAGACATCATCTCTACCTCCTGAAAGATGGAGAACAGAACGGGTAAAATAGCTTTCTCTTTCTCCCCCACCCCATGCTTCAGATTTAATCTATTTATAAGTCAATACAACTGACCTCTCTCCTTCCTGTTTTTCCGTTTCCATTACACATAAACACATCCACTTCTGCTAATAACAATCTTCGACTCCCTGTTCCTGTTTTTTGGTTTGTTGTTGTTTTTACCAGCGGGAGGGGTGTTATAGTTGGATTTCTGAAGGTTGGCTACAAGAAGCTCTTTTTACTTGTAAGTGTTCCCTCATTATCGACTTGGTAATTACATCTCACTTGATGCCTGACTCCACACTTTTTAAAGCTGCTCTGTATGTTGTAATTGCTGATAGGACCAACGGGGGGCGCATTTGGAGACCGAGCCATTGTGTGTGCTGGATTTCTATGTGACAGAGACCCTACAAAGACATGGCTATGGCTCAGAGCTCTTCGACTTCATGCTAAAAGTGAGTCGTACGCATGATTTGTTGAATTACATGTGATTTTTACACAATGTAGGTTTTAAAGATTGCCCACATTGCTCTATTAGAACCATACACCAACCTGATTTCACCAGTTAAAGTAGGACATGCTCCTGGATTAACCTCTGTGTTGATCCTGGAACAACATTCCAATCAGCCAATCAGAATTAAGGAATATACTTATAGTTTATGTTCAGTTTAGGCTTACGGTTAGGTTTATGCACTTCTACATGATTGTTTACCAACTATTAATCCTTTCTGATTATGCAAATAATTTACAGTTATGGTTGGGTGTAGGGGTAGGGAATGTGTATGGATTTTGGATAGTATGGATGGACATTTCACATCAAAAATGATGTATAGGATCAACATAAATGGTAATCCAGGATCGCATATTACTTTGCAAAATCATGGCTAAAACCAGACTAGCATCAACATGCAGCATAAATTGCTATTGACCTTATTCTGCAATGCAGAAATGCGCTAGCTTTTGCGATTGTTTTAGTATTTCCGATTCAGTTGCCTATGGGAGAAATGACTATGAATAATAAAGAGTGGAAGTGTGTTCATGACTTAAGAAAAAGAGCTTAGAATCACCAAGAGGTGAGACTATAGAACGTATCATTGCATCTACAGCACCCAGCAACAGCCCTACGATTTCACCATTTTGGAGTGAAAGCAATCGGCCGTCCATTGGATCAAAGACTATATAATACACAAGACATGTCACTCGTATAGTTTTAAATGGGAAAAAGTGTAACGTTAAACATGGCGAATGAAAATCCGCTTACTAGAACAGGAGCCAATCATTAATTGTTATAGACTGACGGAGAAGCTCGTACTAGGCGTCTGCTTTTGGACAGTTTGGTGGTCAACAAACACACTGGAATCTCAGCAAATACTTGCTTCACAGACATAAGAAATATATCCACATAAAGATTGAAATCTGTGTTTTTAAATGGACCAAGTGCACTTGAAAACAACAGTTTTTTAGATTTGTAATCTGCATGAAACGAACATTAGGTACAGTCCATCCTGTCAAACATGCATCACATGACAGTGATTACTCAAACGCCCACAGACTTATACACAGAGTCGCTTTCATTTCTGGAGGAGATTCGCCATCAAGACCAAGTTATGGATTACTTCAAAAGAGCAGTGTGATCCGACAATCATTATCTAGAGGATAGTGGAGGATAATATGTAGAATGGCCATAAATGAAGTCGGTATCGTGATCTCGTTCCTTTTGAGTGCTCATGCACATTAGCTTGGGCAACCTAAAAATATGACCTTATCGTTTGATTTGGAGGTTTAGATATGAAACTAATGAGACAAATGTTGTTTTTATTTTTATTTGTGGTTCCAAATATGTAATGTAATCATAAGCTTGGCGAACAGTTTTGGAGAATTTGATGTTTCTCCATTAAGACAGAATGCCCGAGCAGACTGCCCGAGAGGCATTTCAAAGATGGACACCGAGTGAAATGTCTTGCCTCAAAGGGACTTTATTTAATCCTATTGCTGTCGTGATGGCAAGAAGCTGCTTTGTTTTTTATTTATTTATTTAAAAAGCGCATAAAAGCTGAAATACAACCTGAAAGACAACAATACAACACTAACAATCACAAGACTGGTGACTGGTGACTTACTGTTTAATATATTACCCATACCCATATATGTTATAATAACATATGGTATTTTTTCTAATGTTGTCTGTTAAAGAAAGACTAATAAAGCTCTTCTGTTAAATATTTTAAAATATAACAGTATTATAAATATGTCTCCTGATCTCCATTTAAATTAAACACATGTGGGTAATTAATAAGTTGAGCATCTCTTTGAGCAACTCTAAAAGAGTTTTTTTTTGTTGAATGGAAAAGATAGATGTTGCAAAATGTAGCCAACATGTTCATTCCATGCCTAGAAGTCTTGCTGCTGTCATTAAAAATCATCGAGGCCATGCAAATAGTAGATAAAGTAGTTTTTGATTTGGGGTATACTCAGTATACTCATTTTTGCATCACCCTAATTTGAGTAAAACAAAAACAACAAAAAATAGCAAACAAAAGTATTTTGTTAACCTTATAAGTTAAACAGATGTTATTAGGCTTAGTCTTGTCAACATTTTGGCACTTGTTTTTGTTTTCATTGAGATATTGTTTAAAATGATTGTTTAAATAAAAAAAAATCATATTTAAGTCCAATATTTTTTTATTATTTCTGTCTAAGGTTAGTAATTCGTGCTGTTGTCCAATTGGAATTTTTATTCTAAAATGGCCGCCACATGACACTCGCAGCATCTACTGGCTGTTTTCCAAATAGCAACAGAGTGTCGCCTCTTGGTGATTCTATGCTCTTTGCTATAGATAAAAAGTAGAATAATATAATTAGAAAAGAGCAGTTTCCAACATGAAGCAGCACAACAATCTCTTTTTAACATGCTCAATGGAAGTGAAAAAGACCGGAAGTTTTGAACCAAAAATATTCCAATGTCTGCGCCCGCTCGTACGTCAGAAATAAGGTCAATAAAAGAACAATGAAATTGGTTAATGGGATTCATCCATTATGTCTGAAGGGCCGCCTTAATGCCTATGTGAAATGTTATCTTCATTTCCAGAGTCTAAATAGCCAGTCAAATCATTGTGCTGAAAAAACATTTTGTCCATCAAGCTTTTATGTCCATTAGGGTTTACTGATCTATTGGACCTAGTGATACACACACACAGATACACACACACAGCTGTTTCTAAGGGTTACTACTATATTTAAGCTGGCTAAAGCCCTGATCACACTGTGCGATTTCAGGCACAATGATTTGGTCGTCTGAAGGCCAGCCCACACTGTGTGGTTTTATTTTATTTTTATTTTATTTTTAATTATCCTAAACAATTGTGTCGTGTCAGACTGCATGAACATGGCTCCCATGTCACACTGTAAGATCTCAGCTGTCATAATGTCAAAAAAATTGACAATGAAGACACACTAAACATGAAAGAAAACTCCCCCAGAGTTTGACTTCATCCATTCGTGACACTTTCACTATCCCGCGTTCTGAAATGATTCCTCACAGCAAGCATAAACAATCGTTAGCAGCAATTTTGCACACAGTGTGTCTCAGTAATAAAACCAGGAAGAAAAAAAAAACCCATCTGATTCTGCGCTCCTATCGGTTGTTGGATTGACGCTCATCCCAGCTGCTGTCACACTGCGGGATGGTGTCTGAAATCTCCTGACACTGCCAGAACTTCATCGAAGGAAAAATCTGATCGCAACGTGCATTAAGCGGCTGTCTGTGAACATGTCAAATTAACGGTCAAAGATTACAGATTTTAGCCTAGGATTTTTTAAGGAATCTTTTAGGATTTCCCAAACTTGTCTCAGATGACACAATCATGGCTGAAATGTCACAATGTGAGCAGTATTGCAGTAATCCTAGGCTAAAATCTGTAATCATTGATCATTAGACTGACATAGAAACCGACAGCTGCTTAATGGCCGTTGTGATTCGTTTTTTCCTTCGATGAAGTTCTGGCAGTGTCAGAAGTTTTCCCTGCAGTCTGACTTCAGCTACAATGAGCATCAAACCAAGAACAAATGGGAGCACAGAATTTGACGACGCAATCAGTGCGACACATTTTTCTGGCTTTATTATTGAGGCATGCTGTGAGCAAAATTGCAGCTACAATATGTTTGCCGTGAGGTAAAAAATGCGGTATAGTGAAAGTGTCACATCTTCAAACTTTGGGTGAGTTTTCTTTTGTGTCTGTGTCTGTTTTTGGTGCATCTTGATTGTCGTTCAGTCAGTACATTTACATAGACACCAATACAATTAAGACAATACTCTGATTAACAGTCCAGCATGTAAACAGCCGTTTGGAGTATGCATATTTTAGCCACATTATTAAAGTGCAGACATGTAAACACCCTAATCAAACTATTACCATCATGTAGTACTTTTCACTACATTTTGCAGCAAAATATTCCATACACACACGGCTGTTTGACACTATTCTCTGTACCTACCGAGTCAGTACAGGACCACGGACACACACAGTTTTTTTCTTTTCATTTGGCTTGCAGTATCAAATTTCATTAAAGCAACTCTTCCACCAGTCCTTACTTAATACTTCATGAATTAAATGTTTCTGAATGAACTGCCAAACTACAGTTAAAGTCAAATTTAAAATGAGAAACACTGGAGGAAACGTTGACTTGCATGGTGATCATGTTCATGCAGTCTGACATGTTACAGTCGCACAATTTGAGCCGGGCTTAACATATTGGAGTGGTCGAAGTCAGTCTCCAAACCAGCTTGAATTTATTATTATTTTTTGTTATGTTGAACAAAATGTTTTGAAGAATGTTAGAAACCGGTAACCATCGACATCCATAGTAGGATGAACAAATACTGTGAAAATCAATGGTTACTGGTTTCCAACACTCTTTAATATGTCTTCTTTTGTGTTCAATGCAACATTACAAAATAAAATGAGTCACGGTGACTTAGGTGAACCATCCCTTTAATACTCATGTATGAAGTGCTGAAGGTGGCACGTCAGGATTTTGCCAAGTACAATCTAATTCTGGATTAACATTTATGTTGTTCCCGAAACATCATTTTTGTTTAAAAATGTATTCCATACCTATTCCTTACCCCTAATCCCAACCATAACTGTAAATTATTCACATAATCAGCGGGGGATTATAGTTGGACTTGGATAACAATCATGTAGAGCAGCATAAACCTAACCATAAGCCTAACTGAACTTAAAGGGTATCCCTATATTCTGATCTACTGTGTTACGTGTTTAAAATGTTTAAGTGGGATGCTGTAACATTTAGGTGAGACAGGTCTAATGTGTGCGACAGTTCAAGTATGAGGCAGGAATCAATTCACAAAGCTTTTTTACTTAATAGTTGAAACAATATGTAACAATAATACATGGAAAAAAGGGAATAAACATGTGTAATTATTATCTTTAAACAAAAACAATGAGTGAAAGCCAAATCAAAGAAATTAAAACAAAACAATCCTTAAATCTAAAGTCTAAACTAGGCGACAAAAATAAATAATACAACCAAAAACCGAGATCTTCAGTGTACACGACTCCCGAACTAAACTAATTAAACTATGAAACTCAAAATTACACAGGTGGCAAAACACTCAAACTAATGTAACAAAACATCCATCTAAACTCAAACAAACTGGATAAGACGGTCAAAGGCTCAGTTCAGAATCACTCAACAACCATCACATTATGTTACTTAAAGCCAACAAAGTTCCTAAGGTAAACTCGAGTTACCACAGTAAACTGAGATAATAAATCATTAAACAGCCGAAGCATAGCACAAACAAATTGCGTGGAGCACAAATGGTACGCCGAGGCAGAGTGCACACCACACACTGGTCTGTTGTGCCTTTCAATCCTTGCGGCTCGTCCGGGGATTGGTGGAACCGACACCGTCATAGTGATGATGGTAAATGACAGATGGTAAACCAATAAGAAACCTAAGGGTTGAGTAAGTGGAGAGGAGGGTGAAAAAAGTACAAAACACAAAGAAAGAAAACTAGCAACATAACAGCTCACTCATAACATAACTCAAACAGAACAGCTGATTGTGAATGTTAACCCAGGAACATGTCCTACGTGGTTAAATCAGGTTAGGGGAAGTGGGTGACGTCGAAAAACTGACTAATCTCTTGCTGGTTTATATGGTTAACTTGACGTTATAATGTAAAGTAACTACACCCATACCAGAAAAGTGGATTTCCAAGCTGCTTAATCTCTAGATTTCAACAGTTTTTGATATGTAATAAATAATATAACATGATCAAATTTACATTATGTATGTTGCAAAAAAAAACAAACAAAAACAAGTTATATTATAAGTTAAAGAATAGACTGGTTGTTATTTGAGGCATCATAAACGGCATTTTCAGTCATTTATTCTGAAGCTGTTGCTTTCTGTGATGAACATACAGTCAAGCATGAAATTATTCATACCTATTTACAGTTGAAGTCAGAATTATTAGCCACTCTGTTTATTTTTTCCCCCAATTTCTGTTTATCAGAGAAGATTTTTTTCAACACATTTCTAAACTTAATAGTTTTAATAACTAATCTCTAATAACTGATTTATTTTATGTTTGCTGTGATGACAGTAAATAAAGTTTGACTAGATATTTTTCAAGACACTTCTATATTCAGCTTAAAGTGACATTTAAAGGCTTAACTAGGTTAATTAGGTTAACTAGGCAGGTTAGGGTAATTAGGCAAGTTATTGTATGACAATGGTTTGTTCTGTAGACTATAGAAAAAAATTAGCTTTAAGGGGCTAATAATTTTGACCCTAAAATGTAAAAAAAAAAAAAAAAAAAAAAACATTATTCTAGCTAAAATAAAACAAATAAGACCTGTTTTCAGAAGAAAAAATATTATCAGACATACTGTGAAAATTTCCTTGCTCTGTTAAACATCATTTAGGAAACATAAAAAAACAATAATTCTTCAACTGTTTATAGTCAAGCCAGAAGTTATTCATACTGCAGGTTATGAATAATTTTGGGCCTGACTGTACATGGAGAACTAAAAGCAGTGGGTGTGGTTATTGTACGTAAAGTCAGTTTGTTCCAAAATAGGGACAGGCTTACAACATTTCAAGAGAACATTTCCAGATGTACAAAATGTGTACCTGTTTACATTCCATTCCTCTGCGTCATCAAAATGCACCGACAAGTTCTAAACATTCTCTGGATTTATGATTTACATTTATGATTAAAATTAAATATAGTCTTGTTAACTACTGAGGACATTTTTCTCGCAGTTTAAATTATATTTAGAGATTTTTTTTAATGAAATCACAATTGCTCACTGGCCACTTTATTAGGTACACCTGTACAACTGCTCGTTAACGTAACTTTCTAATCAGCCAACCGTGTGGCAGCAACTCAATGTATCTAGGCATGTAGACATGGTCCAGACGAACTGCTGCATTGGAAACCGAGCATCAGATTGGGGAAGAATGGTGACTTAAGTGACTTTGAACGTGGCATGATTGTTTGTGCCGGACGGGCTGGTCTGAGTATTTTAGAAACTACTGATCTACTAAGATTTTCACGCATAATCATCTCTAGGGTTTGGAATGGTCCATAAAAGAGAAAATATCCAGTGAGTGGTAGTTCTGCGGGTGCAAAGGCCTTGTTGATGTCAGAGGTCAGAGGAGAATGACCAGTCTGGTTCAAGCTCATAGAAAGGCAACAGTAACTCAAATAACCACTTGTTACAACTGAGGTTTGCAGAAGAGCATCTCTGACCGCACAACACATCAAACCTTGAGGCGGATGGGCTACATCAACAAAAGACCACATCGGGTGCCAATCCTGTCAGCAAAGAACAGGAAATTGAGGCTACAATTCACACAGGCTCACTAAAATAGACGGTAGATGATTGGGAAAAACATTGCCTGGTCTGATAAATCTTGATTTCTTGGCACACTTTGGGTCCATTATTAGTAGTTGACCAGTGTCAATGACATAGCCTACCTGAGTGTTACTGACCATGTCCATCCCTTTATGACCACAGTTTACCCATCTTCTGATGGCTACTTCCAGCAGGATAACGTGCCATGTCATAAAGCGCAAATCATCTTTGATTGATTTCTTGAACATGACAATGAGTTCACTGTACTCAAATGGCCTCTACACTCACCAGATCTTAATTCAATAGAGCACCTTTGGGATGTTATGGAGATTGGTATCATGGAGATTCAGCTGACAAATCTGCAGTAACTTTGTGATGCTATCATGTTAATATGGACCAAAATATCAGGAATATTTTCAGTACCTTGTTGAATCTATGCCATGAAGGATTAAGGCAGTTCTGAATGGAAAAGCGGGGCCAACCCAGTACCTGTAACGTGTACCTAATAAAGATCCAGGCAGTGCATGTTTGCTGACTTTAAATTCAAAAGAAATCTTGTATATATTTATGGGATAAATAAATTTGCAAGAAATAAACAATTTACAAGTATTAACAAGTTCGTACCTTGTAAACTCTGTAAATGCACAGAAACTGAGAATTTCCAAGTGCTCCTTTAATTATTTCCATAGCTCTGTGTTTGTCTGTTGTTTACAGTAGGTAATAATAGGCCTTAAAATGATTTAAATAAGGCTTGTCCACAAACATATTTTGAAAACTCCCTATCAAGGTCAATTTAGTGGTCAGTGAACAGAAACACTCTTGAATTTTTAGTGTTTCAAAGTTTCTGAGTGCTGCACAGCAAGTATGTACATGCAGACATGCAAATAAGTGTATTTAAAACTAAAACATCTTTCCTTAACCTAACTATTTTTGTGTGTGTGTTTTGTAGACAAAGTAATCATACACAGAATAAACCTTTATTTTACTATTGTTATTTTACTATTTTTTTCCAGACATTAAAGAACAGCATAAACTTTCCTCCAAATATCTAGTTTTAAGATAAAGACAAAAGAAGGTCAAACATGTTTGAGCTTGAGAGTAAGAAAAGTTTGATCACTTAGATAAAGTATATACATTTTAAAAGTTTTATTTGAGATATTTTTTGTGTAAAAAAAAAACCTGTTTGTATTGTACTTACAAAGAGTTCGGTATGTTTTTGTGACTCATGTTTTCCTCTTCTGATCATATTCTCTGATTGAACAGCACAAACAGGTGGAGCCTGCGCAGATGGCGTATGATAGACCATCGCCTAAATTCCTGTCATTTCTTGAAAAACGTTATGATCTCAGAAACAGCGTGCCTCAGGTAAGACCCACCTCTTTAAGTAAAGGTGTGAGTGACATAAAAAAAAAATCATAGCTAACTTGAGCATATCTGATGTAACATTTTTAAACAGCAAGTTTGACATTTAAATGTGTCACAGCCGGTTAGGAGGACACTTCTCAGAATTCCATTGTTTATTTAAAGCAACACTCCACTTTTGTTAGCAAATAGGCTCATTTTACAACTTCTCTCAGTGTTATACAGTTGAGTTTTACCATTTTTTAAAATTAACTCAGCCGATCTCCAGTTCTGGCACTTTTAGCTTAGCTTAACATAAATCATTGAATCGAATTAGACCATTAGCATCTCGCTCAAATAAACAACTCAGAAAGGTGTTTTGATTTATTTCCTATTTAAAGCTCGACTTTCCTGTTGTTACATTGTGTACTGACTGACTAAAATGTAAATGTTGCTATCTTCTATGGTGATATGTCTAGGTAAAAAACTTTCATTGAGTAATAACAAAGACTATAGCTGGGTCTCATTTCAAAGGCTGCATTCTCCCGAAGGATCCACCGGTTGCGTCCTTCATTACCCGCACTTCGAAAGCATCCTTCGGAGGATGCAGCTTCTGAAATAAGACACAGCTCATAGAATACTAGAATACACGACATGTCACTCGTATACTTTTGAATGGGGAAAAGTGTAACTTTCAATATGGCGATTGAAGCCCCGCCCTCTTGTACAGAAACCAATTAGTGATCGTTAAATGGCGAATTAAGCCCGCTTTCTAGTAAAGGAACCAATCAGCGGTCGCTATAGAATGACAATTCTCCTGGGGAGGGGCTCGGACCAGACGTGAGTTTCTGCAGATTTTGTGCGATACATTTAGAAATGAAACTAAAGACAAAATTGTATTGGTTATTTATTATATGAAATTTAATCGTAGTCTTGGCAAGTAGTTTTGGAGAATTTGATGTTTCCCTATTCAAATTGAATGCCCAAGCATACTGCCCGAGAAATGACTTGCCTTAAAGGGACTTTAGTAATAATCTGTGAACTTTGCTGTTGTACCCAAGCGGCAACATCCCGCTCTTCCTCGTGAAGCTAATACAGAAGTAACTGAAACTGCAATTCATCGAAATTCTACTAGGCTTGGCTCCATAATAGAGCACATTTCTGTTGAACCCAATGTTAAATTTACAGCAGAAAAAAGATGTTTACAGCCTGGTACAAAAAACGATTTTTCGTGTATATAGCTAATATTACATTTCATGACAAATGTGAGTGGATAAATTTTTTTATAACTCATCCAATTCGTCTATATTAAGTTATATTAAGTTTGCATAATTAAGGGCGTGGCCACTTGAGTGACAGCTAGGTCTCGCTGGTTGCTGTCACTTCACCTCAGCTGATTCCGGCTGATAAGCCGATGAACTCGGCATAGACATCATATTTTTGTTTTGTTTTATGTGGCTTTACACAATTTTCAATTGCCTTTTGGGGTTATTTTCTACAATCATCAGATAATATGGCATGCTGTGTGCACTTAATTGTGTTCACAAATCATTGTATATCATCTTACAATGTATATTTTACTTGTATATCATCTCTATAAATGTATTTGTTTTGTTTAAGATCATTCATAATTTCTTTAGAGCTGTAATGCACTCCAGAATCTGACAAATTAATTAGCTGTAGGCTCTAGAACAGTCATCTGAAACGTTGTCATACAGTGTTATGCCTGGATTTCATAAATAGCCTTGCATTTACTAACACAGACTATATTTTAAGTGTTTAGAAGTAATTTGTGTTTCCTCCTGTAGAAAAATGACAGCAGATAAGCTAAACTAAAAACATAAGCTAAGCTAAAAGTTCTCCCAACAGGCCCTAAGAGCAGCTGAATGGATAAAAAAAGGTAAAAGTCAACAGTTTAAATCTAGGGGAGTTTAAAAAAGTGGTGTGTTTCTTTAAACCCAGTTATAACAGTCACTGAAAACAGCTTGTTCAAATGCTGTAGTAGTATGTTATGTATTGGTCTTGCATATAATTTTAATCAATAGATTTTCCTTTTCATAAAAAAGAAGTGTTAAAGTAACCGTTCTTTAATTATGTAATTCTATGTCTAACATGGGTTCATTTTATCTCCTGTCGAACTTGTTCTTCTTAGGTCAATAACTTTGTGGTGTTTGCTGGGTTCTTCCAGAGTAGATCAGGTAACACCTGCCTGTCTCACTGCTCTTTTGTGGTTATGTGGGTTTAGAATGTTGTCCTGGATCTCTGCCAGTATCCAATGTCTTCCGTACAGGACAACAACCTCCCTTTCTTCTCATTTACAGTTCATGCAAGGCAGCACTTTAATGAAATTCTTTCTTTTTTTGTTGTTCTTCTCTTCCTCATATTTCTGCAGTTAACATAACTCGAACAACTTAGTGGTTTTTCAGACTTTGTCACTTATAGATAATACAGTTTTTTATTTATTTTTCTTGAATAAACTAACTGAAGTTATTGCAGGTAATAATAATAATAATAATAATAATAATAATAATTTTTAAAGGCACCCAACTCAATATAAAAGTAAACTCAACAATAGTTTAGATACAATTAAGTATTAAAAGCCACCTTAAATAAGTAAGTTTTGAGTCTTTGAGTCTTGGTATTAAATTTACTAAAAGCAAAGTTGAAATTAAAATTATTTAATCTAAATAAATGCTGAAAATACAAAGTTAAAAGACAATTTAAATGATTAAATAAATCATGTAGTATCTTATGATATAAAGACTAAACTAAAAACACTGATTACAATTTTAATAGAACTTTTCTTTACTTTAGACTTTTGTTTAGATAAGCTTATACACACATATACCCTTTTAACAGTTGAGTACATCCTTACATGTCTTTACAGGTTTTTTAAATCGGTTTGGTACAATTTTTATAACTAAAGTGTGAATATTTCAAATCTCCTTGTACAAAACTTTAAACTGATCACATCTGTTACACTATTAGTCATCCTTTCCAATGTGATGTCATGATTTCAATGTAGTTGCACATATTTTCATTCCACATAATCATTGTTTCAGAACACAAGATCATTGTGATTTATATTCAGAACATTTACTTCAATCACCAAAACCCTAAGATCTTTTTTCCAACTACTTATAACATTCAGTCTATTCAGTAGCAAACAATACAAAATACTGATTTTAAATTGCTCTTGGTGCTAAATTAACAGCTCTTACAGCAATCTGCTTGATCAGACAAGTAGAAAATATACATATTAAATGATTTATTGATGATTACACATTAAGATCAGTTAAATTACATGATAGTAAAATGTATATAACTAGTGAAAAGAGATTTAAATTAAACGTTTGATGGTACCAGCTTAATGAAAGGCAGTTACTGTGAATGAATCATTTATATAGATGAAACACTTATTGTATATAGTAAAATGATCTTTTGTGATTGTCTAACAAAATTAAAAACGTGCTGAAATGTTTGAAAAAAGTGTACTTTTGATCAACTGTTGTGATATAAGTACTAAGAGTTTTGAAATTGTACCGATTGCTTGTGAAAGTTGTGCCAAACCAATTACAAAAAAAATGAATATAGATAGCCAATCTAGCCAGTTAATTTATTTGAACCAATTTGCAGCCTTGCATGCACTGTTATTTACTGTTAACTGTGATAATTTGACCTGGTTTTGATTTTGAATCAAATTATTTTCTTATATTTTAACAAAAGCCTATGTTTGTTGTTCTGGTGTGTCATTTTTAAAGCTGTCTTTTGGTTTTTCTAATGTTTATTTGTAGTAGTTCTTTATTTAAATCAAGTCTGTTTCCTGATTTAAACCACACTCTGTTATTTTGTTTTCTCTAAGACAGGATATTCATGCCTGGGCAAAACCTATTCAGTATCTTTATTTGTGTATATGCATGACGCATCAAGCCCAGATCTGTGGTGTTTAGTTGATGGTTTCCCTAGATGAGGTTTAACCAACACAGACTCGTTGGAAACATGTGCTTCAGCCTACATATTTGTGAAACCCCAAAAACATACTTAAACATAAGTTTGACTGGAGTTTCTAAGTAAAATAAAAGCTATGGAGCAGTATGCTGCCTACAATTGTTATTCCTTTTCACAGTAGTGATATTTTTGGTGAACAAAGATAATTATGCTGTTCTTTGCAAAGTACATATTAAATACCACAATACAGCAGTGTTAATGATTTATAATCAATTATGTTTGCCTCACTTATCTATCTCCATATGTACAACATTTCTGACATGGTCAGTTTGCATGGTAAATCACTTAAACAGTGTTATAATTGTGATGCAGAGTCTGGGGAAGAATCATTTTACAAAAGAGATAAAAACAATGTAAAATTAAGGTAAAACTACGTCACAGTGCACTTTTCTTTTATGTTTGTTTATGAAATTCCTTTTAGTTGCATTTAGGGAAAGGGCATAGGCCGGTGTTTTGCTAGGCTTTTGTTTAAAAGTCCTGTGAAGTGCTTTGTAATTAGTTTTTTATTTTTCGAAGCTTGACGTGATCTCAATAGAAGAATTAAGAGAGGGTGGGACAAATAAACTCCTCCCCTTTAAAAAAATAGCCAATAGAGTTTCATTTTTAGCAATTCTCTGCCAGATGAGATCAAGTGCATCAAATGAGAAGCACCTTGAAGGGGACGGGGCCTGTCAAATAGTAGAAATCATTTGATTGGTCAAGATTTAATGAAAAACTAAAATATGAGGTGAAAAATTAATCCATATAGGCGGAAGTGAAAGACTGCAAGCTTTGGATGTACAAAACATACCCTATTTGAAGTATTTCAGATTTTTAGACCTTTATTTTTAGACAAAAATGTTGACAGCTCCCTCTAGTGGATTTGTCATCTGAAACGTGCAACAAAACGTACCTGGAGCAAGAAAAGTAACATATTTCGACTAGAACCTAAAGTTCGTTGACAAACTTTGATGTTGACTTGAGAAAGCCAGTGAGACTATGCTATGACTGGGAATAGCAGTTAGCAGGAAGCACAGCAGTTACTACGTGGTTGCTAGGCAGTCGCTAAAATGTTTATGGCATTGCTAAATGGTTGTCAAGCAGTCGCTTAATAATGACGCTTGTGTACATATTTGATCAAATGCTAATACTCAGTGAGCATTTCTTGCATATGTTATTGCACTTAGATAATCATTAATAGCATGTAGCTAATCATTATTAGCACTTTATTGTTACCATGCATAGTACACAGGAAGTCCCATTGGCTAGCAATAGTCAAACAAGCCAATACCCAGGTCCCTACAATGTTCTGATGTAGAGATATTGCTTTTTTTAAAAATAGTTGCTAAGTTAGCCTATTAGCCCTATTGCTATGGGGACAATTGACAGCTTAGTGATGATGCATCAAAGCTTCTTGTCAATATGAGTGATGTAAATCAACCCCGATGTTTCTGTGACAGTCTCCATGACAGTCAAAAACTGGACTTGGACATTATGTAAAAATGGCTTGCCATATTTTATTGAAAATATAATGCTTAATTATTAAGTGTGAAAGGGATACATGCAAAAATGGCTCGCCACGTTAGTAAAAAATAGGTAGCTTAAGTCATGGAGTTTATGGCTTGCCATATTTTCAGAATAATAATGCTTAAAAATTAATTTACTTTCTCAAGCCAACATAAATATGAAGAAATGTAGGCAACGCCCTTCAGAGGTTTTGTTATCTGAAACATGCAACAAATTGTAGCCATAGCTTTGTAAGTGACGCATTTAAGATTTCCAAAAAATATAGACTGCACCCACTAGTGGATCTGTCATCTAAAACATGCAACAAAACGTTCCCCAAGCAATGTATTTTAAACTTTGCAAATGTGTAGGCTGAGGCTTAACATACAATTGACTCAAACCATTCACTGTTTAAGCACTTTTGTCTCATGAAATTCTCCCAGGAACACCTCCCTCCCCTCTGACGGATCAGGGGATGTATGGATTTTTGTAAGGATATTGAATATTAGCTATTCCTCTTATTCCCAATGTCACCTGGCTTACACCTTACGTATCACTCCTTTATCATATCCCAGTGGTTTAGGAAGAATCTCCAGTCCCTTTGCACTCAGTCGGAGCCCATTAACCTCTGCCCACATTAATCAATCCCAACAACTCACTCACCAACTCACACCCTTACAAGATCCCTTGCTGTTCCCCTTTAAAATCCAATTATAGATCAGTGCTGTATGTTTCCCCAAAGTGCAGTGGAATGATAATCGATATGTGCATTTGCTCTTTGGATATTTATGGATGCGAAGAATTGTGAAATATGTAGTGTATGCTGTTTGAAGGTGCACTAAGAAATGTTTGAACCATATAGTGGAACCAAATCCCAAATTCCAAACCACATTTTTCTTACCTAATCAGGATTAAGGGGCATGTCTAGTAATGATAGTGGAGGTTGGAACCACACCATATAGTGGAACCAAAGCACAAACCACACTTTTTTATCCAATCAGCAACAAGGGGCGTGTCTATTAATGATAGTGGACGTTGGAACCGCACCATAGGGGAACCAAAGCCCAACCCTTTTTTACGCATTCAGTTGTAAGGGGAGTGTCTAGTAATGATAGTGAAGGTTGGAAGTACACAATATAGTGGAACCAAATTCTAAACCACACTTTTTAGCCCAATCAGCATTAAGGGGCATGTCTAGTAAGGATAGTGGAGGTTAGAACCCCATCATATAGTGGAACCAAATCCTTAACCACACTTTTTTACCCAATCAGAAGTAAGGGGCGTGTCTAGTAATTATAGTGAAGGTTGGAAGTACACAATATAGTGGAACCAAATCCTAAACCACACTTTTTTGCCCTATCAGCATTAAGGGGCGTGTCTAGTAATGATATTGGAGGTTAGAACCCCATCATATAGTGGAACCAAATTCCAAACCACACTTTTTTTACCCTATCAGCATTAAGGGGCGTGTCTGTTAATGATAGTGGGAGTTGGAACCGCACCATATAGTGGAACCAAATCCCAAACCACACTTTTTTACCCAAACAGCAGTAAGTATTGAGTAATGATAGTGAATGTTCTGAAAAAGTGGTGGGGTTTTGTTGGGTGACGGGCCATCTTTGTTTGGCATCAGTTTTGCTAAATTTGCTTAGTGCACCTTTAAATATGCTGACTTATTCTCAATCATACCTGTTTTCTCTTTCTTTAATACATTATTCTTTCCAACAGCGGTCCAACTGAGAAAAGTTCCCCCAAGAAAGCCAGAGGGAGAGATCAAACCTTATTCGCTAATGGAAAGAGAAGGTGGGTTACTCATGAGCTCCATGTCATGTATTTAACCAGTTGGCACAATAAACCCTCTAGCTGACATTTACACCAACTTGCTGAGTACTGACATCATCCAGTCGCTGTAATAAATAGTTTCATCTGGAAACAGGCCTCCCATTATTCATTAAAGGCCTTGATTTGGACCTTCAGTTATTTGTAGAGCCTTTAGGAAAGAGCTTTTTTTTGTCTGTTTTTCACAGACATTTTGCAGGAGAAAATAGTGTTGCAATTATTATATGAAAGATGAAAATGTCATTTAGACTTAGGGTTCTGTTTAAATCTCGTGTTAAGATGCATTTCTGGTAATCCTATTACAAGTAGCCATTGCTAAATACAAGTGTAAACAATAGTTTTGTCTTCAAGTGGTTAAAAACACATTAGAATAGATGTGTTTCATTGTATAGATGCTTATATGGTCAAATACATTCACAAAAGTTACAATAGAACTCCTGCCCTCCTCTTTTAAACATTACAGGATATATTTTACACATTATGCAATATATTTGAAGTGCACTAGCCAGACGGTGTTTAATCTTGGCCCTCTGAAATCATAAGTTTGCACTAAACAAGATGGAAAAAAAGAAATGTAAAAGCTCAGTGTTCTCTTATCAGTCCTGATTATAACACAAACGCACTGCTTTCTGCTTAGTTTTGCAGCTATCAGATTATAAATGAAAGCTGCTGTCTCTTTTTGATTTCATATGTAAATTGTGCAAGCGTATTTTATAATGTTGGACTAAAAATAGGCATTTATAGAAAAGTTGTTAAAAGTGGAAAAAATATACACATTAATAAACCAGTCTAAACACTATCTTCAAAAACAACCGGCTTTAAAGGTGACATTGAATACATTGATTCAATATGTTGAATAGTTTTTTGTTGTTTACATAGTAGATATGTGACTAAGTAAAATATTCTCCAGAAATACTTGAATATGTTAATTTATAACCCTTGAAATGACCCCTAGAAGAAAAAACATTATCAGACATACTGTAAAAAATTTCCTTGCTCAGTTAAACATCATTTGGAAATATTTAAAAAAAGAAAAATTTCAAAGGGGGGCTAATAATTCTGACTTCAACTGTATGTCTGTTGCCTCATTACAAACATATGTGGCAAATTTCACAATATACAAGTTAAACTAATAAAAGATACAGTTAAAAAGACCTTATGCCTCTTCGGTAAATGGGGAAAAAATTATAATCCCTCTTTTTTTAATTATGCTTCTGACAATTAGCTGTAATGAGACGATCCATACCTGGTTGCAATACCTTTGAGCTCTGTTATGCCAGTCCCGTTTTTAAAATTTAAGTTCTACTTCCAAAAGTAAGCATAATACAAGCTCAGATAAACTTAAAAATTGTAATCTCATTAGAAATCAAACACAAACTGCATATTAATGTGTGGATCATCAGAGTCTGTGCATGTTCCAATAGGCCTGTATTCACAGGGATTTTACATTCACTGGATTTACACAATAACGAAGAAACAACTGATGCCAGTATGCCATGAACTCTAATTCTTCTAGACCTTGTTATATCCAGATTTTCATTCTAAAATAAAAATTAAAACCTTTAACCATTGTTGTGCTAGTTACTGAAAAATAGTAACTAGTTACAGTTACTAGTTACTTTACTCAAAAATTCTAGTATTCACAAATTCATTTGAGTTACTTTTCCAAAGAACATTATTAATGCTCCCATTAATGCCCTTATAACTTCACTTCAGTTCTGCAAGGAGAATACACTGTTAATCAGTTTTACAGTTTTAATTAATTTGCATTCTCACAACTAAAACAAGACAAACTTAAGTAAAATGTAATTTTGAAACACTAATTTATTTTAGTCAGACCAGCTGCACAAAAATGAAAATATCACAAGGTGATAAACAGCTGAATAATATATTCAGAAACAAAAAAGCAAAAACTCAAGTTACTTCAGCATCATACAAGTTTGTATTTAACTCTTAAACATGTCCTTTCACAGCTTAAGTACGAAAATTAGCAACAATATACAACAAACACAAAATCTTTATCAAATAAATAAATGAAAGTAATCTGAATTATCAATCAGAATCAATTTGGTGAAACTCAGCACCAAAAATGGCTATTATAGACAACCATAAATTATATGCATTCTAAAACAAAAAACAAAAAAAACATAACTGCTCAAAAATGAAATCTATGAGTAATTTTCAAACTAACCACATATTAAATATGGTATGTCAGCAACTTATGGACAGTAAGCTGTGTATATTCAATATATAAGTGTAAAATCTGCTGTTGTAAAACAGCTATCAAAAAAAAAAAAAAATCACAGCATTTTTCTGAGCAATACAACACTATACATTTAAATAACATGTTCTGAAATAAAACAGAACCTTGTCACTGTGTTTACTAAACTAATCAATTGTGTTATACAGATAACAAATGTGTGCTTTATTTGAAACAGCAAACATAGTTGTATTGGTAATAGTAATTAATCATATTTACGTTAATAGTCTCGGTCTACCATGCGCGCATTCGATCTCTCTCATGCGCACACTTGGAATCTCTTGCATCCCGGTCTCTCTGCTTTCGATTTACCTTTGTCTAGTCTGGCGCCTCGTTCACAATGCGTCATGTTTACAGTGGTTGGTTTGCATCCACCAATCCCACTATGCATCACCCTTGTAAACAGGAAGATAAGGGGTAGACTGCAGCCAAAATTATTTAATTTGAAAATAACGGACAAACGCATTATATTGTAATGATAACAGAGTTAATATATTTAAAAAGTAATGCGTTATAGTATAAGTTACTGTCAAAAGTAATGCCGTCACAGTAACTCATTACTAGTAATGCATTACACTTGCTTTAAACTCTTGTGTAGTGGTGGGGATGTTTTCATCCACTCTGAGGTGATTTTAAGTCTTAATTTGGACACATCTTTCTCTGTTTCAGCAAATGGAATGATTGGTGACAAGTCGTATTTTGAAACATATTTTGGGAAAATGCTTTGAATTTTCAGAAATTCAACAATACACTCTGGGCAAATTTACTGCCCTTTCGTTATGTTGGTGGCTGTTTTTGCTCCATTGGCTTCTATTATAACAACTTTTTTTTTTAATGCAAATCTATGACAGCATATAATCATGCATTATTGATTGTTAGTGGTTTTGCCTGTTGGAAACAGGTCAAATTTACTATTTTTACTGTTGATTATCAGTGGCACTGTGTGAATTACAAACTTTACCTCTTGTCAATTAGGAAAAACAGCAATAATCAAGAATGCATGATGGTGTAATGGCTTAGCAAACAAAAAGTCATTATAACGGAAATCAATGGGGCAAAAACAGCCACCAACATACTGAAAGGGTAGTCATTAGCGATGTTTCCATCCAAAAATGCGAATGAACCTTATGCGCAAAACTAAATTATCGCATAAGAAGTGTGAATAAAGCAGCGTTTCCATCCAACGAGTCGAAGCGAACAAAATCACTTCCTGATTAACTGGCACCAAATATTACCAGTAAAAACGGAATTTGCTGCGATAAGAGAAGCTGTGTCAATATTTTCTTCATCTAATAAATGACTTGTGCCTCAAACGCGCGGTGGCATTTCAATGTGTCAGGCGCGGAGCACACAGATGCTTTTGATTCTGGAGGTCATTAATAATATAATAACACTAATACTTAAATGGTAAGGCTTTTTACAATGACCAAAACAACAGTTCAGATGTGTTACAGTGTGCTCAGCCTGCTGGGTTGTCCATTTACACACATTTTCATCATCACATGATCTCTTATCACAAAATCCCATGACCTTTTTGATGCGCATACTGAAATTTGTGCGGTAAAAGTGTTTCCATTGAAGTTTATGCGCATCTTTTCTTATCGACCAAAAAGTTTGTCCTACTCGGTTATATGCAGATTTTTAATGCGCATTTTCAAAATTTATGAACATTATGGTGTTTTCATCAGCCGTTTTTTAATGCGCATATGCAAAATGCGCATAAAAATAGGTGAATGGAAACATAGCTAATTTGAACAGTACAAGAGTTACAAAAATAATTCAGTTTTCCACTGTTTATGTTTGTGTTTTGTTTTTGAAATCAAGCTCAGAAAATAAATTATATTGAAGTTTGTATTTATTGACCGAAATATCAGGTTTCCAAATGTAACGTTATCGTTATCAGATAAAAATGCTCATATCTGCACATCTTTTTTTCCTCCTCAGTGGTTCGGGAGGAGCAGAGGGTTCTCCCCTGGCCATTTGTTCGCCCCGGGGGTCCCCCCCACTCTCCCCCTCTACTTCCGTCATCTCCTCAATCCCGTTCTCTCAGTGTGGGATCCTCCCCCAGCCGGGCCCCGCTTCGCCCCGCCGCGGCCACGGTCCTCCAGCAGGGTCAGACCCCCTCATCCCCGCTCAACGACAGCTGCAGGGCAAAACGCACCAGGTACAGATCTCCACAGCACCTTTTACAACACACTCCAGTCTAAATCCAGAACATCTCTCTAAATATTTACATTACGTCCTCTTCGGTTTTTCCATCTGGGGCTTTTTTTGGGGGGCCAATGAAAGCCTGGGCTCTGTGGGAATGAAAGCAAAGAGACACTGAGGTCGTTCTCGTTCACTATGAGCCACTTCCTGTGTTAGATGAGTGCATGCTGGAATTGGCGGCAGGAATGTGAATTCAGCTCATTAGTACATCATTAGTGTATCAGTGTGTGCCAGATGCGTATTCTTCTAACACGTACGCAGCCTTGTCCACTTTCTTTTGCAGAATCGCTAAACACTTCTCTTCTTCTCCTTCTCCCTTTCTTCTCCTCTTCCGTTCATCTCTTGATTATGACATGCTTGTTGTTGTACACATGACCTCCTCCAATTATGGCATGCTCATGTTTGTGCCTTCTTCATTTGATGAGCTTGAACTTTGCTTTTTCTTACAACTACACACTTTTCTTCTTTATCTCATTCTTTAACGCTAGTTCTCTAAATAGATCTAGGCTTAGCTTCCATTGACATTCAGTGCTTAGTGCCATTATCTTCAACCTCGTAGCTAGTTTCAATTTTAGGCATAGTTCACCCAACAATGACAATTCCATCATTTGATCACCTTTGACTTTGCTCTGAAGCAGATATTTTGAAGCATGTTGGAAACCTAGTAGGAAGAACATGACATGGAGTTTAGTGGTTACAGGTTCCCAACATTCTTCAAAATATCTTCTTTTGATCTGTGTGAAATCCATGTTTGTGTTCCACAAATGAAATGACAACCTTCAGGGAACGTATGACAGAGCTGTCATTGCTGGATGAACTACTGGTTTAGCTTTTTTTTGCTCTGTTGTGACTGTATGAAAGGTACGGATTCCTGCTAAAGGATTTGATAATACATATTTGTAATTCAATTGGCATCTCTTTTTGGTCTTTTTCTCTACGCTTTCCACAAAAGTGTGTTTTAGAATTTAGGATTTTTACTGAGTTTACAACAGTGTTAACCCTCTGCTGTCAAATGTCCCCTGTGCTGAGCAGCAAGTAATAAAAACATTTGAAAAAAAAAAATATAGTCATTCTTATTTAATGACTTGTTAGTTAATTAATGTCTTATATAGCAGATTATTTTAATAGAACTTAACGCTGGTAACAGACTTTTAGTTTAGTTTTAGATCACACCTCAGGGCTGTTCCATACCTGTCAAACTTCCTGTTTTTGCAAGGATTGTCCTGTATTTTACCATTTTATCCCAATATCATCCCGTTTAAGTATTGTCCTGTATTTATCTCTTATTATTAATCTTTCTATGAAAAGTGAAAGTAGCATCTAAGAGCCGATCTAAAATGTTTAAGAGGATTAAACAGAAGCGCTGTTTAAGAGAATTATACTTTCGCTTTATTTTGGCTTTAAAGCACATTAAAATTAATATCCCAACAGCTGCATTCACTTCATTTCCATTAAAGCTATGCGTCGACTGTCATCCTTCATTTGCAGCTTCTGAATCAGTCCAGTCATGTAACGGTGCTGACTGACGGATGCGCTTCATAGTGATGCCAGATCAGCTTCTGCAGACATGATTTGAAGAGATGCAAAAGTAGACACTTTTGGATTTTGGTGTGTTTTTAAACAGACAAATACACTTAATAATATGTAAACATTTCTGTCCTGCATGTTTTATTTTAAACACAAAATAATTTTTTCTTAAAAGAGAAAATGTTTTCTTTATAGATCTGTAGATTCTTAAAGGGACACCTCTCTGTTATCAAACAAAACTGTATTAAATAAGAGAGCCTCTACTCTTCATTACATAACTATAGTATATTTATAGTATTAAAAGTATTTAACAGTATTTAAACACTGTGAATAAAAATTGGACGATTGTATTACAATTTAATTTCTGTATAGGCTGCTGATTATTGAATAGCTTTGAGTTTTGTTTTGTGTTTTTGGTTAGGGGGCGGGTATCCTTTATTTTTACACCTCAATGTTGACAGGTATGGGCTGTTGATAAGTGGTTGACCAATATAAGCATAAACAGCGAACATACAGCAGTGGCCAAAAGTGATGTCCAGGTGGGATCTTGTGCTTTATTTGTTTTTGTTTTTTATGGCACTGCAAGTTCAATTATTCCATTAAAAAAACAAAAACACTGAAATATATGTATTGTACATACAGTCAAAATACAGTCAAATGTATTATTTGTTTGTATTATTTTTTTATAATTACTGTATTGTATAGTTTAGTATGGTATATTTTAAAGTGAAATCATGTTTAGGATTTTCACTCCAGTCTTTAGTGTCACACTATTCTTCAGATATCTTTCTCAAATGCTGAAGGATTTACTAGACTTTTTGTTAAGGATTCATTTGATGAACAGAATATTCAAAGTTTTATTCATATTATAAATGTTTTTATGAAAGTATTCATTAAAGTATTTATTTAAGTATTCATAATTATGTATATCTCTCTGGCCCCAAATATTTGAACAATGTATTAAATACTAAGATGTTAAAATACATAAAAGTCATTTAAAGGCATCCAGTGAGAAAACTCTGAAAATTAAATGGACTGTGTAAATATTTCCTATTTTTGGTATAAAAGCTCACTTCCAAAATAGTTTGATATTTTTATTTTATTGGAAAATAATATATTTATTTTCAGTTTATCTACCCAAGCAAAATTTATCATAAAAATATTTGATTATAAAATATAAATAATAAAAAAACAATAGATGTTAAACATGAAGACGGTAGTTTTTTTTTTTTTTGTAGAACATGTAGCTGATACTGTAACAAGTCTAAAGTCTTGTTGAAGCCTCTGTGAATGACATGTGAGTTGTCACATGCCTGTGATTGATGTTAAAACCAGTTACAACCTACAAAATAGCTCAGGATTATGGTAAAAGGCGTAGTATGTTATAGAATATATGGAAAAAGACGCATCGCTGAGAAACCTGTTAAGCATGTAAGCTTGTTTCCACCAATGAAATTTAAGAAAGCACAATCACTGGTTTTTATTTCACTACTCTGACTTTCTTTCTTATTGTTCTGAGTGGATATCACACAATTTGGAGATCACAGCTTGCAGTTTTGGTTTTTTAACCCTTGTGCACTGTTCAAATTTACTAGCCTTTGATTATCTCCGCAATGAAAACATCCACTCAATTAAACTGCAGTAAAAATGCATCAGAAAAATATTTTTTACATTTTTTTTTTTTTTTTTGCATAAATCTGTTAATCAACCTCAATCCTGATAAAAACTACTAAATGTTTTCAAAAATTACAGGATTTTAACTCTTTAATTGCCAAATTCATAAATGATGTCACTAATTTGGTGAAAAAAAAAAAACACAAAATTATGTTTTTTTCAGTATAAAAAGTAATTGTGGACTGGACGTTTTGTTTACCTTCTATTACAGTCTTGGATGTGAACGATTATTTACAACATCGTCTCTGATGCATTGTTAGATTTTCATTTTTTCTCCCTAATTTACAATCGGTTATTTACACTATGTAGTTCTGAGAGCTGAGATGCATATTTAGATTTCTCAGACACTTCAAGGTAAATGCGCAAAGGATACACTAACATACATACACTTTAATTTGCTGTTATACTCCATACTACTAAGCTTTTTTTTTTTGTACAGGCTTATCTAAAGGGTTTATGGTGCCAACTGATGATCAACAGGGAAAAACACCAGCTATCAAAAATACATGATTATATGGTGCCATGGTTTTGCAATAAAAAACTGTGGTTTTAAAGGAAGTTAATTGGGCAAAAACAGCCACCAACAGTAAATTAGGGTGAAAAAAGTGAAAATAAATCACAAACAATGCATCAAAGGCAATGTTGTTTTACATCTCCAAGACTTTATTAAAAGGTTAAAAAAATCCAGTCCACAATTACTTTTTATATTAAAAATACGTCATTTTTTGTGTGTTTTCACCAAATCAGTGACATTGTTTATGAATTTGGCAATTAAAGAGTTAAAATACTGTAATTTTCTTAACAATTTAGTAGTTTTGATCAGGACTTATGATTTATGCAAAACAAATGTAAAAAATATCTGATTCATTTTTACAGCAGTTTATTTCAGTGGATGTTTTTATCTCTAACATAACAAAAGGGTAGTAAATTTGCTCAGAGTGTATCAATGAGTTTTTAATGAATTTTTTATTTTATTTCAAAGCATTTTCTCAAAATCGGTGTCAAAATAAAATGTGTCACCAAAATAATTCTGCTAGCTGAAACACTGAGAAAGATATGGCCAAATAAGACACAAAATCACCCCAGAGTGGATGAAAACATCCCCAACATGGCTTAAATTGTCTGAATTTGAGGAAGTAAACCTACAATTGTGAAAAATAAAGTTATAATTTCAGTAGATTTTTTTGTGGGAAACAAAACATCAAAACAAATCTTTTGACTATATTTTCCACAATTGAATATGTACATTTCACTAATATGACAATATAAAGTCAGAATTGCATAGAATAAAATGAGAATCGTGAACTCAACGGTAACTCAAAGTGTTTGTATTTTGATATCTCATCAAGTTTATATCTAACAATTCTAGATTATTTCTTGCAGTTTTTTAATATATTTTTTAGAATTGTTAATATCTTACAATTTAAAGTTTATGCCTTCTAATTATTACCTGTTTCTCAGAATTGTAAGAAAAAAGAATATTGCGCTAGAGTGGGATATATGCACAGAGACTTTTAATTGTCAGCCAACCAGCCTCAGCACTTCCTGTGAATGTCTTTCCATTATAAAATGGCCACATTTAAGATACGATTTCTTTAAAAATCACTGTCTATGAAGTGGGTCTCAGACCGGACAAGAAGCACTTCCATGTCTTTAAAATTAAAAATGAATAAATTAGTCGGCGCCAGTGGTGTAGTGGTTAGTCAATGACACATGCACTCCAGTGCTCGCGGCGACCCGGGTTTGATTCTGCCTCGCGGTCCTATGCCAATCCTTCCCCTCTCTCTGCTCCCCATGCTTTCCTGTCAATTCTCTCTACTGTCCTATAAATAAAGGTGAAAACCTCGAAAATAAATAAATAAATAAATTAATTACTGCAGTATTTTCAATGGAGTTTTTGCGCTTGCCTGCTGATCCTGACACTGCTAGCATCTCATTTTAGGCTTTAACAACTAAATGAATGCTTAAGTCTATTTAACTGAATGCATTGCAATGACATTACAACCTTGTGAAATACTGAAAAACACTAACTGTGACACTAGCATTGTCAGATAAACTCAAAATTGTGTGATTGTGTGACAAATCTAAATAACAAATCGATTCCCAAAATCTCAAAATCTGAGCAATACGCTTCCATCTCTGATGTCTGAAACAAAACCTGGTGTAAAATTACAACATTACACCACACACCTTTCAAGATTAAAAACCCAGCATCACATTACACAACCATTACCCTTATCCACTTCCACCGGAATGATTTTACACAGTGTCAATTTCTAAGTTTGAGTTCTGCATTTATGTTTGATTACGTTTTTAATTTGTCCCTTTTTTTCTGTCACATTTGTTTGTTTTTTTATTCTCCCATATTTTTCACTCCCTGTAATGTCCTCATTGCCCCTCCGTCCTGTCCCTCTCTGGCTGTTGTTTGTCCGTGTCCTCATATCCTGTAGTCATCAGGGTCTAGTTGCCAGGAGCAACCTCTACAGTCGACATTTCACCAGCCGAGACCTTGGGCAGTTATTGGCGGAACGGCAGAAGCTTCCAGGTAATGCGCCGCTTCAACAGCAATTAACGATTTTAGCGTGGTGCAATATGACGTTTTTTTTTTTTTACAATGGCCGGCATAAAACCGTAAACCATTAGTAAACCATTAGCAGTTGTCGTATGTGTTCCTCAGGGCTGAAAGTGTGTGACACAGAGGCAAAGGCAGAGGCAGAGGAACACAAACGCATTTCTGAAAGGTCGGCCTTTTCTCACGTAGGCTTTGTGAGAGTCCGTTTCTCCTGCTTGTATTGTTTACGTGTGTGTTGGAAGCGAATGCTGGGGAAAACACCAGGGATTCGCAGCGAGGTAATGACTAGGCCTCCACAGAATCTACGCCCCCAGAATTCCTCTAAAAGCCCTGCAGATTCGGATGAATTTGTTTGTTTATGTGTGCGTTAATGAGGGCTGTGGAGCCAAGCGTGGCTGCAGTTATTGTTATTGCTTCTACTCGGGGTTGGGATTAGAAGCGAGTCTTAACCCAGAGTGAGTATTTAGGTTTGGAGTGAGTTTGTTGACATTTTTGTAGGACCTACATTTATGTTTTTTTTTTTTTTTTCAGTTGAATGTGCCAGAAAAAAAATCTGGATGTTCAGATACTGCAATGGTAACAAAAAGGAAAGTTTATGTGATGTAAAATTAAATATGTAATGTTTAATGATTTAAGATGAGTCTTTTGTGTCTCCAGAATGTGTCTGTAAAGTTTCAGCTCAAAACACCCATCAAATCATTTATTGTACCTTTCAGAATATTGGAATTTTCTGCTTTGAACACAATGTAGCTGTTTTTGTTGCCTGTGCCTTTAATGCTAGTTCTCCCCGCCCACCGTTCCCACGTGCGTGTCAAAGTGTGCCTCAATCTTTGCCTTGGCTGCTTTAGATAAACAGCACAGTGACAGACATGAAGGAAGCAGATCTCACTTAACTTTTTTCCTAATAAGTATTTATTGTATTTGTTGTGGAGTTAATTCAAGCCTTTCTGCTATGATGAGTCACACACAATGTTGTTACAAAGTTCACGCACACACACAAGAACACACAAACACACAGCGCACACGTTTAACTGTGCACCGTTTTTGCACGGCAAATGTGATCACATACACGTTAATATTCACTGTTGTATGGATATCCATTATGTTAATGTACAAAATAAACCTGATTTAAGACCACAAACCGCGTCTTTTATAATTGTACTGACGTGTCTGTGGTGATAGAGACGATAAAATCACTGTAATTACAAACATGCACCGTTTTAAAAATGTTTTAAACTTGTAAAACTCATTCCTGATCACGTGTTGATGACTGTTGATCACAGCGAGTAGAAAAGATCTTTTAATCTCAGTTGCTTTATGCACGTCCTGTCTTGTTGATGTAATGATACACGTTAATATGGAGACTTGTTAATACGCAGTTGTCAAATAATTCGGTGGACGGGAAAAAACGCACTCCTACGTCAAGTTGCAGTGGGCCTCAAAATGCAAGGAATAAGATCCTATTATAATGTCATGAAATTTCAAAAAAGAGAATTATTGCCTTTATATTACCCCAATATGACTGTGGACACACTATACTGTATCTACACACAGCTCTGTCCAAACAGCTTACAAAAAAAGGATTTCCATTATAGGTGCCCTTTAAAATACGTTTTAAATGATGTACTTATTTATTGTAAAATAAATCATCTTTTTGTCATAATTTAATAATTAATAATTTAATAATAATTTAAGTGCTCTTAAAAATATTTTAGTTATTATTTGGTTGTTGTTGTTATTATTATTGTCAGTTGAGTGTTTTTTTTTTATGTTATAAAAAAAACCTGGAAGTTCAGATACTGCAATGTTAAATGAAAAGAAAGTTCATATAGTTTAAAGTAATGTTTAATTTTTAAATTAATTTAATTGTTTACTTTAAAAATACATTTTAATCTATGCATTTATTTATCATACAATATTAATTTTTTTTTTGAAAATTTAAAAAATGTGCTCTTAGAAGTCTTTTAGTTAGCATAAATGTAATAAAATTAGAATTTAAAGTTAATGAATGATTTTTAATGATCTAATGGAATTTAAGCATCTAAAAATCAAATCAAAAACAAACTTCATTGAGGCTAGTGGGCTGAAGGTAAATATTGTTGACATCACTAATTTCCTAATTTATTTAATAATATTTAGAAATGACTAGAAAACATTGCTTTATATTAACTAATACAATATTTTTTGACATCTTATAATGGACTTATTACAATAAAAAACTATTTATAACAGAATTGCACCAGTTTTTGCCTCAATTTGCCGCCAATATCTTCTGCAAAGTCCTCTATCCGTCAAGTGACAGTATTTACATTTTTAAAAATCTAATTTATTTAATACATTTAATTGAAACATTTAATTTTTTCAGTTTGCTTTTTGTAGTCTATTAATAAAACAAACAAAATCAACTGAGAAATGATGATCTCTGTGTTAAAGGCGTTTGGCCCAACCCTCTTTATCATTCTCACTCTCCTCTCAGATGGGATGGTGGATGGTGGGCCAAATCAAAGGTTACAATGGGCCAACCTTGGCCTGCAGGCCCTACTTTCGGCATCTCTTATTAAAACCATAACATTTGAATACAGCGTTTTTCCCTTTTACTGGGATTTAAAGATGACATCACTAAATGTATTTTAAGATTAACACTGATTTATATAGAATTGCCTGTCATATTTAGAACCATAAACATGTTATGAAATATTAAAATGCTCTAATTAAGTCTAATAGTCATCAAAACATAGCTTGTCTAAAACAAAGCTAAATTTAGACTGCCTTAGAAAGTCTAATAGACATCTAAGGAAAGCCCAAAAACTAGAAACTAAACAAAGTATTCAAATAACACACAAAATCTGTCTAATCTGATGGCTATTCTTATACGGCTTTTCGATTTTTCTCTGACAGTCCAAATTTTGGCTTGTAGCCAGTCAAACTTGTAGATGAATTATAGACGTCTATTAGATGTCTATTAAACACAAACTTGCTTGGTGGGTAAATACTCTTCATAAACTACTAATTAATTGTAATTTCAATTGTTAAACTTTATATTTAATCCATTTCTCACCAGAAGTTTTTAATAATTATTTAATAAATATAAAAAATTGGTCACACTTTAATGTTCAATTCACGCTATAAATTAAGCATTAACTAAGACTTTTAGCTCAAGAAACGACTAATTAGCTGCTTATTATTAGTAAGGTACAGCATGAGTTGGGTTCAGGTATTGGGTAGGATTAGGTGTGTAAATTAGGATCATACTTCATAAGTGCTAATAAACAGTTAATATTTTAATAATAGACAGGTAATAAGCCAGTAGTAAATGGTGTGAAATGTTATCTAAACTAAATTGTTACCAGAACATTTAGGCCACTTGTTATTGTGTACATCTCAGCTTCAGTTGTGACACTTTTATTCACAAATACTCTTCTGTGGCCTCATGGGATTGTAAAGAATTCATTGAATGTGCACTGAAGTAGTACAGTAGGTCAATTGAGTACTTTTTAATTACCCTAATTTGAATGTATCAGCATTTTCACATTGAATTTAGTAGGGAAGTATTGTTTTTTTTTAAAAATGCTGAACATAGAAATTTGGTTTATTTGTATTTTTTTTAATATTCTGCTTCCAGCTAAATATCTAATACTGAATGAGCAATACTCTCAGGTCAGATTAATATATCTGATGTGCTGTATTTACCATATTTGTCTTTGATGCTGACTGTAGTAAAATGCAGTATATTCTGTGTGGGCCTAGTCATGACTCAATAATATGTGCATGTACCTATTTCAGTGAATTTGCTCTGATGCAACTTTGATTTTACACCACTTCTTTTCTTCTCAGCCTTGTCCTTGTTCTTTATTCTCCTGGAAGCTTCATCTTTACTGCAAAGTTTTCTCCTTCTTTCTCTCCATCATTAAATGTTTTTCTGTCTCCTCCAGACCTCATTTTCAAAGCCAGATTGTGTCTCCTCCGACGCTTGCCAGTTCCCAGAAAGATGATCTTCAGAATCAGACCTCCATAGAAGAAGATCCAAACATTGAGCCGAAGACTACTAAAGTGTCGCAGAAAACAGCAGACGACTGGAGGAAAAGTGAAGCGTCTGAGCTCTCGAGGGCTGGAGGAAGAAGCGGATGGTCTTGGACGGTTGGAGAGAGTCACTATACGGCTCAATGGGTCCGACAGAAACAAGAGTATCGCAGTACACGACCCTGGTGATGGAAATCATATATACAGTGGGAGAAATAAGTATTGAACATGTCACCCTTTTTCTCAGAAAACATATTTCTAAAGGGGCTGTTGATCTGAAATTGTCACCGGATGTTGGTTACAACCAAATAAATTCATATATGCAAAGAAAACAAAGCTAATTACCTTACAAATTAAGTTATGTGTTATAAAATAAAAGGAAAAAGCATTGAACACATGAAGAAAGGGAGGTTTAGAAAGGCAGGGAAAGCCTCACAGTAGCTATTTAGCAACACTCTGCCTTTCGTCATTGTAAGTAATATCCGCTGCTTCAGTCCAGCATCTACATTACCAGGATGATCAAGATGAAACCAGAGTTGACATTTCAGCAAGACAATGATCCAAGAAACAACCAAGGAAACTCTCAAATGCTTTCAGAGAAAGAAAATCAAGCTGTAGAATGGTTCAGCCAATCACCAGACTTAAATCCAATAGAAAATACAAAATAAAGACCAGATTTGATGGATGAGACTCACAGAACCATCAAGATTTTTACACTGTTGAAGTCTGTGAAAACAAATCACACCTGAGCAATGCATGTGACTTCGTTCTAAAAATAAAAGGCTTCAGTAAGCTGCCATCACCCAAAAAGCATAAAGTATTATAAAGATTTAAGTAGTTCAGATCTTTTTCCTTGTGTCTTTCCAATGTTATTACACAGTACTCTTTTTTTTTTTTGGTTTGTTTTTATGTTTGTATTGTTTGGGTTTTTACCTAAATCTGGTTCAACAGCTTCTTTAGAAATATTATTCCCAGGAAAAAGCATGACGTCTCCAATACTTACTTCCCCCACTGTAGCTGCGTCTAAAAGCATATACTACATTGAACTTGAATTTACTTCATGACTGTTCGGAAAATAGTACGAATGCAACTACTACAGCGTACTACATCCGCTTATTACCAAGACCTACCTCCTTCAAGTACGTTGCTTCACTCCCATGTATAAAATCTTTCCCATTGCCTCATGTTATAAGTGTTCATTGGATGCACACTTTAGAATATCGGCAGAAGTACTTTTCACCTGCTGTTCTTCGAATACTATTGGTGCTTCTCAGTCAGCTCCCTTGTTGTATGTTGTGAATCAGTAGGTCGTATAACGGATTGTAGCATTTCAGCGAGCTTGGTTTACTAGACATTGGTACACTGATCTTAACATGTGAACGTCCTCGTATGGCATTGAAACTAAAGTTTATGAATAACAATGTAATGTAATTTTTTATGAAGATTTTAAAAGCACATTATGTATAAATAATGTAATTGTTTCATTTGCCAGTATCACTTTAACAGTTAATCATTTAGAAATGTTTGCTAGATTGTTCTTTACCTGTCTAAGGATATTAAAGGTGCAGTAGGTGATCTTCCACAATGCTAACAGCTTAGCATAAATCTCTGAATCACAGTCCCTCCCCTGCCGTCTAGAGCCACGCCTCCTTAAACACGAGCACAGCAAAAGAACCCTCTCTCATGTGTTAAAAGCGACTAGTGCTTGTCTGGCGGCGTGCAAGCCAAACTGACATGCTGTTTCAGAGCGAATATTTAAAGATGCATGGTAAACAATATAGGGAGAGACTAGGCGGAATAGCGGTATTTACTTGTGTTTTGCTGTTAAACTAATTAAAATCTACATTATTGGTGCTGTAAAAGGTCCCTTATGAAACTAAAAAATAGTCTTATTAATCTTTCACCGGAAGATTTTAGTAGCTGAACAACACTTCTTTGAAGATATATCCCATTTGTAACAACATCTAACATTACATCAGCTTTGCGTGAAGCTAAAACAATTTTAAAACAGAACATTACCTGTCTAAGAGAAATGCTTCAGACAATGTGTTATCCTTTCTCCAGCATGCAAAGGTAACTCCAATATTGATTCAGACTTTTAAGAAGTTTTGATTCAGCAGCTTTTTACCGATCGCACACTTGCTCTCTCTCTCTCTTTCTCTCTCTCTCTCTCTCTCTCTCGAACGCGCGGAGGTCAGCGGAGCTGTGTGCAAAAGGCTGTGCAGTTGTTCAAATCTACATTTGCTGACAGACAGTTTGACCTACCTTTAGTATTTATGAGAGATGTCAGCCTGACTGTATTTAATTGGATGAACATTTTTTAGTTTTATGCCTTACCCAAACTATAAAAATACATAGAAACACATTGAGATCATTTACTTTAATCAGTACTATTGGAATGTGAAGAGACTTTCAACCAGCACAACAACAAATGCTTCTGAAGACAATCACCTACTGCACCTTTAATTTGTGATTGAATATTGATAGATAATGGTTTGATGCCAACCCTACGAGGGTTGATGATGCCAATCATACTGTATGATAAACCATTCTCAGATGGGATGACGGGCCAATTTAAAGGTTACCATGGGCCAAATTTGGGCCTTTGTTTGAGCACCTTTGCCCTCATCCTTTTGAAGCTGTCACTCCAGAGGTTAAACCCTTTTAGGAGGTCAGGGCATAGGGAAGAGCACTTACGGATGGAACGCAGTGTCAGGGCACTGGATGAATTTTGCGTTTAAAATGGCCGACTCCCTGATGAGTGCCCTGACAACTAAACAAGGAAGCTGATTCAGACACACTCCATGAATTCACATACTGCTCGGCTCGTATACGTTTTTTCGCATACTATAGAGTCAAGAAAAATATGATTTTGGATCACCAATATTTCCCAAAGCATCTTAATGTGCTGTTTATCCTCAGGGCATCCAAGATGTACATTGCTTTCTTTAGTAAAACATTAAAGAAGATTAAAACTGTGGCCTTTGGTGATTTTAAAATGCAAGTCAACTGATGCTTTCACTTTTAGTCAAAAGCTCACATTCAGGAAACATGAAAGGACTCCAACTGCTCCTGAAGATATCTTTTTTATATAAAGTGACGTGGTCCGTCTGTTTGATCATTCACTTTGTAGTAAAATGTATTTTCTTTCAATGGGTGCTTTAGCAGAAAAACTGAACTGCCACCATTGTTGTTGCAGCATCATGACAGATTAAATGCAATAATATTGTAATCAATGCTTGTGTTTCTTACCCAGCCTGATGATTTTGCTTCAAAAGACATGGAATTAATTTCGTGTGGCCTACATATGTGTTTCTGACTGTCAAAATGAAGCTCGTCGACTTGCTTTTTATGAATCACTGAAGCACAGGTCTCAAACTGGATTCCTGGAGGGCCGCAGCTCTGCACAGTTTTGCTGCAACACCAATCAAACACAGCTAATCCAAATGATGAAGGTGTTCAAGACTTGTGTGAGTTAAGCAGGTGAGAGTTGGAGCTTAACTATGCAGAGCTGCGGCCCTCCAGGAATTGAGTTTGAGACCACTCCACTGAAGTCTATTGGTGCGGCTATAAATAAACATCGGAAAAGAAATCATATTTATATTAACTGAAGAAAGCCACCTATCTTGAATGACCAGAGGATGATTAAATTGACATCCAGTTTACATTTATGAGCGCTCTGAAATGAACATTGCAAAAGGATCTAGAATTAGAAGTAAAACAATGAAAAATGATTTTAAGAATTTTTATTAAACAACAAAAATAAACAAAAACTTTGATTTATAACTTTTTTTGATTTAAGTCATTTATAACTGTCAGATTTGTGCTTTTAAGACTTTTTATTTTGTGCTATTTTTTTAATGTGTTATTTATTAATATCTCCGCTATTTAATGGCTTGTGCTTTTCTAATCAGTTTTGTAATCTAATCATTTAGAATGTTTTTCAAAAACAGCTCTATGCAAAAAAGTACAGACATTTTCACTGAAAATTTAATTAAATGCTTGAAAATTTGTTCTAGTTGATTCATTTCTATCACCGCCTTCGAACAACATACTTCTAAAGTCAAAATGATGCTCATTCTCGTACACTGATCACATAATTACATCATTCCCTTGTGGAAATCATTTATACCGTACACAAAACAAACAGAACAAACCCTTGGAAACATCAAACCAAGGACATTAGTGCATGCGACTCTTAACAACATGTACCGTCTGGAGCGTCTAAACATCATCAAAATACATGAAAGCACATCACATGTCTTCACTGTAAAGCTGAAAATCCAACATGTAAGATGCACGCTTTTAATGTGCGTTCATCAGGAGTATACATTTCACAGATGTTCCCTCTTAGATTCTTCAGCTGCTTTTTCAATCATTTGTCGGTTAATTGAAGGCTTGGAAACTCACGTGTTGGGGTTTGCTCAAGCAAGTTCTATATCTTGGATAGTTCACAAAAAATTACAATTGTTATTTACATTTAAGTGATTCCAAACCTTTATAAGTTTCTTTATTTTGTTGAACAAAAAAAAAAAAGAAGATATTTTGAAGAAAGCTGAAAACCATTGACATCCACAGTAGGAAAACAAAGTACAAAGGTTTTCAGATTTCTTTACAATTTCTTCTTTAGTGTTCAACAGAAGAAAGTCGAACCTATTTGGAAAAAGGAAAGTGAGAAATTTGACAGTTTGGGGTAAAACATTCTCTTTTTTTGTAAGATGAGATATTTCATGACCTTAGAATTATAAGGTTTTATCTGACATTTTTGTCAAATTGAGTTGACATATTCTTATTAAATGACAACTTATTTACATTATGGGATTTTTTTTTACAAGTTGTTTACATTTTAAGACTTTATAAAAAAAAAACAAATGTTACACACAAGGTTTGCTATGGAATGCAAGAACTATGAAGCTCAATATCTCAAAATCATTCAGAATTATTCAGATAGAACCTTCGAATTCTTAGGTGACGATTTGACAGGCATTTATCTTCAACATATACTGTATCAGGTCAGAAATTAATATTATATTAAAAATAAAAATCTCTCAGCTGCAAGTTTGTTTCTTCTGTTGAACACAAAAGATATTTAAACTGGCATTCCTGCTGTTGACTTTTATAGTATATATATATATATATATATATATATATATATATATATATATATATATATATATATATATATATATATTTTTTTTTTTTTTTTTTTTTTTTTCTCCTATGGAAGTCAATGGCTACTGATTTTCAACATTCTTAAAATATCTTCTTTTGTGTTCAACAGATAAAAGAAACTCATATTGTTTTGGAACCATTTATGTCTTTGGGGTAACTGAGAGGTATAGTTCATCCAAAAATGAAAATTCTCTTCTTCTTTATTCCTGCGTCATGGATTTCATAGTTAGTCAAGATAAGTTTAGGTTTAGAAAAAAAAATCATATTCACTGAAATCCATGCAGAGGAAGATGACAGTTAAGGGGTTACAACTACTTGAGTGTAAGTAAATGGTGAGGAAATTTTCATTTTTGGTCACCTAATGTTTACCTAATTAATATTATCAGTGCCAAACTTATGGCTAGACATGGGGCAATAACTAGTTTCAGGGTTTACAGCAGTTTGGAAAAGTCAAGGTATTAAAACTGCAAACAAAAAATGATAAACCATTCCTAAAATAAATGTAAAGTGTTTTTTTCATGCATTTTAAAGAGATCTGTTCTTGAAACTAATGAAGACAATGGTTTATTTAAATGATTTAGCCTGACATGTTTCCTAAAGTGAAATATACTGTATATTGGGTTTAATGGGGAAAATAGTTGTTGTTTTTACTAAGACATTTAAAAAGAACTTGTTTTAGAGCAGTGATTACAATACATCGATATTGTGAAACCGTGATATATTTATCAAAGGTTATCATACCATCAGGAACTTATACCGGCCCATGCCTAGTTTTTAAAAGAATACAGGGAAGGACTGCAATATAATGACCAAATAAAAACGTTTATTATTGTAATGTTACAGTGCGTTTACACTGCTGCCAGTGAGAGCCTCATTCACTTTGGCTGCTCTGCCGCTGCCACTGATGATCAAACATGTTTTATAAAGGCCTACATTACAATCTGGGAAATCCACCATAGTCTAGCAATAATAAAGCTCTGCTTTGGTAGACTATTCAAATCTGACAGGTTGCAATCGAAACACGTCATAGCTCATTACCAATAAGTTGGCCTGATTTCAACTCTCCAAAACGGTCCAGATGTACTGTGCCACTTTCGACAGAGCTCATCTCAGACTCCCACTGAAAATAAATGCCTAAATGACTTTGGTGCACTCCTCTGCGGCGATCAATTTACTTTTTAGTTAATATACAGTTGAAGTCAGAATTATTACACCCCCTTTATTTTTTTTATATTTCCCAAATGATGTTTAACAGAGCAAGAAAATTATCACAGTATGTCTGATAATATTTTTCGTCTGGAGAGAGTCTTATTTGTTTTGTATTGGCAAGAAGAAAAGCTGTTTTTAAATATTTAAAAAACATTTTAAGGTCAAAATTATTACCCCCTTTAAGCTATATTTTTTTTGAATAGTCTACAGAACAAACCATCATTATACAATAACTTGCCTAATTACCCTAACCTGCCTAGTTAACCTAATGAACCTAGTTAAGCCTTTAAATGTCACTTTAAGCTGTATAGAAGTGTCTTGAAAAATATCTAGTCAAACTTTATTTACTGTCATCATGGTAAAAATAAAATTAATCAGTTATTAGAAATGAGTTAGTAAAAGTATTTTGTTTAGAAATAGTCTGGCGGAAAAATTTGCTTTGGTTCAATTCTAGCAAAAAGAAAGTGGGCCACTTCTTAGCTGTCGATTTGGGCGTGATTAGGGCTAATGGATATTTGTTGACGGGTTGTAAATGTACGTTAACATGAAGACCCAAGCTAGTAAACTTCTCCTAATGCATGTTGAAATTTGACTAACACTAAAATATATACACAAAAATATCACTACACACAATGTATTTAATAGGTTATTATTATTTTTTTTAAAGAAAATTCTACAATGTTTTTTGATCATCAATGGCAGCTACATGGCAGCCAGAGCTTATAATACCCTCTAGCAGTGGTGTAAATGCACAGACAATCAGAATACAATATTTTGTGTCTGTTAAAAAAGACACTATAATCTAGCTAACCCGACAAAAATGACTTCATGGTGTTGATCAAAATAGCAAAAATGTCAACTAAAAAACGTTAGGTGAAAGATATTAATCGAATGCAATGCTAACAGATCTGTAATCATGACTCATTTTAGATAAAATCTAAATCTTTTTGGAAATATCTTTACTTACCATTTTTTTTCTACAAGACTTCATTGTTGACCCTGGTCTTTAGTGACATTCTTCAGATTTATAAAATCAAGAAAAATGACAGTGCTATGCTAATTTGTATCTCAACCCAATCCAGAACTGGTGATATGTAAAGATTGCAAGTCTGTTTTAAAAAAGTGCATATTGCTAATTCTGATTATTACATTAATTTTGCATTCGTGGCATCTTAACTTATGGTTTAAATAGAACTATTTATGTGGAACTTCAAAAAATAAGTACTTATTTTTAGTACCAAGAACAAGTCATTAGCATGTCTTTATAAGTGCACAATTTTCTGACCTTGATGTCCTGTCACTGAACAGCCCATTCTTGCCAGACGTGTTTTCCCTCTTGTTGCCTGTCAACATGCCATTTAATTCTTTATACAGTATCTGCCAGAGGTGTTTTTTTTTTCTTTCTGTGCAGCAACTGAGTAAAGCCCAAACTGAAGAAGTAAAAACCGTAGCACCTCCATTTTGCATGACCTTTAAGACACTGTGCATTCAAGTTTACGACAATCGCATCATCCCTGTTTATCTGTTTCCCTTTTTATTCCATTAAAACGTTCTTCAGTAGTTAAGATGATTTTTTTTCATCAAATGTTCTCAACGGGACAGTGCTCATTCAGTTTATAGCCACTTTTGGACACTGCCCAAACTTGATTTAATATGAATCCCTCAGTAATGTTTCGTAGATTTCTGACTGGAGAAAACGGGGGTAAGAGTCCATTTCCAGAAGGCCGTAGATGCGTTTTTGGGCATGTGTGAGGGAGGTGTGTGACGGGGCTTTCAGCAGAGTTTGGGTCAGTTCTCTTGTCTTCCAGTCCAGGTTCACCTGAAGATGATGGAAAGAAATGTATTGATCAACCAACACAGAAGATAAAGGAGTCGTTAAGTCAAAAAAAAATACACTGACGGATGTCTAATTTTAATTTGAAAGATTAATTACAATCGGGGCTTGCCGTTAACTTTTTTTTTTTTTTATCACCAGTCACTGTGGCTAGTATATTTCTAACATTACTAGCCACTCGCCATTTTCACTAGCCACAATTTTGTCGTTGAGATAATATATTTTATATGCATAAATTGTACTTTGACATGCTAAAATTACTTGATTAGATTTTGTGTGATGTCCACATGCCTCCTTATTTATTTCACTTTTCGTGTGTGTGTATGAGCTTGCTCAAAGTGAATGAGCAAATGTGCCGCATTGCAATTAGTTTTTACTAGCATTTTTGTCAGGAGAGCTGTAAGAGAATTGGAGAACGGCTGACTTTTTTTTTATCTGTTTATTACCATTCAGACACATGGCCTATATCCGTGCTGTTGTGTTTGCCTATAGCAGGGCTAATGGTTAGAATAGATATGGCAAGAGGCCTGCTGCACTGCTATCCACTGTGTCTGCATTCAGTCATTCATTATAGGGGGTTGCTTGGCGATTTCCAAAAAAACTATTTAATCAAATCAAATCATATCACTTTTATTGTCACATCATCAGCAGCATGTGTGCTATGATGAGTGAAAAGCTTAGGTGTTGGCTCCAGACAGTACAAAATACAGACAGTGCAAATACAACGACAGTGGAAAATACAACAGCATACACCCAAAAAAAAAACAGGACTATGTAAAATTGACAGCGATATGTACTATGAATTGGTGTCCACATAGTTGTAGGCAGTATTGTTTCAAGTATGGATTGGTTAAGTGCAGTGCATGCTACATATTGATGATGTGCAGTGTGGAGTATGGAAGAGTCTGTGTGAGGTGTGCTAAGTGTTTATCAGCCTGATAGTCTGAGGGAAGAAATTTTCCTTCAGCCGGCTGGTGGGGGACCGGATGCTGCGGAACCTTCTGCCTGAGGGTAGCAGAGAGAAAAGTCAATGGCTTGGGTGGCAGGAGTCGCTGATAATTCTCTTGGCTTTCCTCATGCACCGCCTGGTGTAGATGTCCTGGAGGGAGGGAAGCTCACCTCCTACTACGCGTCCAGCAGTTCGCACAATCCTATGTAGGCCTTTGCGATGTCCATACCAGGTGGTGATCCAGCCAGACAGGATGCTCTCCACAGTGCAGGTGTAGAACAAGCGGAGGATGTGGGGGTTCATTCCAAACCTCCTGAGACGCCCCAGCAAGAAGAGGCGGTGTTGTGCCTTCCTCAGCACTGCGTCTGTGTGAGCAGTCCATGTCAAATCCTCAGCGATGTGTACGTCAATAAACTTGCTGACTCTCTTCACTGGTGTCTCGTTGATGGTGGTGATGGGGGTGTGTTCTCTCTTCTCTCTCCTGAAATCCACCACCAGCTCCTTGGTTTTGCTGATGTTGAGTGAGAGGTGGTTTTCCTCACACCACTGCAACTGGACGCCAGTCATTCAAGCATGTGGTTTTAGCTGATTTTGGTATGGGCACATTAGAAGCTGTCTTAAAGAATGTGGGAACCACAGACCGAGAGAGTGAGAGGTTAAAGATGTCCGTGAAAACTGTGTGCGCATGCTTTAAGTACACGTCCAGGGATGTCATCTGGGCCCGTAGCTTTCCGGATGTTCACACGACGGAAAGATCTCCTTACATCCACTACAGAAACAGACAGTGTGCTGGCGGTTTCGGCCACGGAAGCGCGCAGTGTGTGCACGCTGTCCTGGGCTTTAAAGCAGGTGTAGAACGAGTCAAGCTCGTCCGGGAGAGACGCAGCAATGTTTACAATGGCGGGTTTGTTACTTTTAAAGTCTGTGATGTAATTAAGTCCCTGTCACATGCTCCTTGGGCGGGGGAGGTATTTGTATGCGTCCCTAAACGGGGAACAGCAATGGTCGAAAATCTGGTCCCCACGCTTGTTTGTGGTGATGTGTTGATAGTATTTTGGAGCGATTTTCCTGAGATTGCCGTTGTTAAAGTCCCCTGTAACAATAAACGCTGCCTCCGGGTGTGCGTTTTCTTACTTGCTTATGCTCCTGTACAGTTGGCTTGAGGGGGGATGTAGATAGCTGCAATTATAACAGCTGTGAACTCCCTCGGCAGCCAGTGTGGCCGACACCAAAGCAAAAGATATTCCAGATCAGGAGAACAGAATGATCTAACTGGGTGTATGTTCCTCTCATCACACCATGAGTTGTTAATAAAGAAACAAACACCTCCTCCTTTGTTTTTCCCTGTTAGTTCTTTCGTTCTATCCGCACGGTGCACGGAGAACCCCGAAAGTTACCTCCGCAGATAACCAGGTTTCTGTATGGCAGATAATGCAGCAGTTTCTTGTTTCCAGTTGGAAGGAAATGCGCGCCCGTAGCTGGCAAAGTTTGTTGTCCAGTGACTGAACGTTAGCCAGCAGAATGGTATGGAATGGAGGTCGAAAACCACAGCGTCTCAGTCTGACGAGGACGCCGGCTCTCTTTCCTCTTTTCCGGCTGCGTTTCCTTTGTTGCTTCGATTGTTTGACCCAGACAAAGGGCTCTGTTGCTGTGGTTGTAAACAGTGCGTCGTTAAAGAACTCAAAGTCCGGTCTTCAATGTGCAACGAGGGGGACAATTTCCCGAAGTGTGTGTCTGTCTTAGGTAATGAGAGTGTGTACATCCAGCACGAAAAACGACAAAAATACAAGCAAAACATACTAAAAACAAAGTTTGCTAGGAGCTCGCAACACGGTGGGCATGCTGGGCAACATCTTGATGAATTATTTTATTAAACTATTAAAATGACCATATTTTATCACAACCTACTGAAAAACAAAACAGTTGTTAATAATTAACATTAAGTAATGTTAACATTGTTAACATTAAGTAACAATGTTAATAATAAACATCAGAAAACAACATGCTAATAAAGGTCATCAGCCTTTAGATTTTTTTGCAACCCCTGTGATGATTACGTTATATTAAAAACACAGCAAAAGCATCAGATGAAGCACATTGATTTTATGGAATCAGGTTAAACTTTCTGACACCTTTATGGCATTCAGGTCAATTTAAAATGACAGTTTTTCTCAGTGGCTTTGTTGCATTTCTCACAACACTATTTACATTTGCACAACAGTTCATACATTTCTCAAAACAATTAGTCATTTGTGCACATCATAGTGGCAGTTCCACATTCCTTCTACCAAATTGCTAATGCTTTCATCAATTGCTTTCATACAACTCTCTGCTGTTTTATAACATTATGATTTGGTTATGTCATGTCAGTCAAAATTAACTAAACCTGTAAATGCTGAATAATCATTCCATATAAACTAATAGTCCTCATTTCATTACTTGAGTCATTAAATACAACAATATTGAACTAGTTTTCAAAATCTGTCAACAAATTTTATAAAAATGTTTAATTTATTTTTTCCTGAAAATGAAATTGAAAAATTTCATCAATGATTAACAGACCTGTGTATGTTGTCGGTTCAGTTCCACTAAGTACTGCAATATTGTTTACAGTTGTGCACAGCTCTACCCAAAGGTAGTTTATTTTTGTTGTAAATAAGGGTGTATTTATTCTTTTGCACAATGCTGTGAATAAATTAGAATTGCAAAGAGAAAATGCAGTGAAAATGTGAAACATATTCAGTGGCTTGTACTCAGTAAATCACCTCACTAAATGCAGTGATGACTAACTTTACTGTAGTTTTCAAATGGCTGTGTAAATAGTGTAAAGTGCTGTCTTGAGCATTTTCAGGAAGTGTCACCACAATTAGACACTTCTGTATTGAAAAATATACTGAGTTAACTGTCATAATTTTAATCATAAACAATGGTGTCAGGACTTTTCATCTTGATGACACTGACACTTTAATTGACATGAATACTTGCTTTTGAGGACTGAGCGATCCATGGAGCAAGAGACACTTTTGCAGGTTATCAACTAGGTTTTGCAGTTTGTACTAATTGTTTTGAGAAATGCAGTAACTGTTGTGCAAATGTAAATAGTGTTGAGAAATGCACAAAAGTGACTGAGAAAAACTGTAATACAGGCCACTACTGAACATGGAGGACGGTCTCCGAGTGGCATTCTCCAAAATTAAACTTGGGCCCATTGGTATACAGTTGAAGTCAAAATTATTATCCCCCCTTTGATTTTTTTTCTTCTTTTTTAAATATTTCCCAAATTATGTTTAACTGAACAAGGAAATTTTCACAGTATGTCTGATAATATTTTTTCTTTTCTGGAGAAAATCTTATTTGTTTTATTTTGGCTAGAATAAAAGCAGTTATTCATTTTTGAACACCATTTTAAGGACAAAATTATTAGCCCCTTAAAGCTAATTTATTTTTTCGATAGTCTACAGAACAAACCATCGCTATACAATAACTTGCCTAATTACCCTATCCTGCCTAGTTAACCTAATTAATGAGTTATTGAAAATATGTTTAGAAATGTGTTGAAAAAATCTGCTCTCTGTTAAACAGCAATTGGGGGAAAAAATAAACAGAGGGTCTAATAGTTCTGGGGGGCTAATAATTCTGACTTCAACTGTATGTTTGCCACTGTGTGCAATGTTTATATAGTTATAACCACCTCAAAGTGTATTTGAGGTCGCGAGTCACTGGCATTGTTATTTTGGGGGTTGCAGACTGAAAAGTTTGAGAATACTTGTTTTGAATAATGTGTCTAAACAAGCAAACTCTGGTTGTATAGATGCACTTTTTAATTAACATAACCCTTCTTTTCAAAAGTTTTAAAAACTATAATATGAATATATGCACAACTGTCCAGGTCAGGGTCCTCACCATATTTAAATGGAGAACTTTTTTTGGCAAACTGAAACCAAAACTATATCAGTAAATCGAGTTCAAAATAAACAATTTGTTAATTTGTTCATGGATATAAGAAAATTAAGACCTGTTTAAAATGATTTAAGACCTACGAAACAATATTTCTGTAAATATAAGACTTTTTAAGGCCTAAAATTAAGTTTTTGCAGACATTTTAAGACACAGTGGTCATCCTGTTTATAACAGACACTGGGATTGTCAAGCTCCAAATTGTTTTATTCATTAATTTTCCTTCGGCTTAGTTCCTTTTTTCATCAGGGATCACCACAGCAGAATGAACCGCCAAATTATCCAACATATGTTTTACACAGCAGATGTCCTTAGAGCTGTAACCCAGTACTGGGAAACATCCATACACACTCATTCACACACTATGGGCAAATTAGTTTATTCAATTCATCTATAGCCTTTAGATTGTGGGGGTAACCGGAAACCCACACCAACACGGGGAGAACATGCAAAGTCCACACAGAAATGCCAACTGACCCAGCTGAGACTCAAACCAGTGACCTTCTTGCTGTGAGGTGATGGTGCCAACCACTGAGCCACCGTGTCACCTCAAAATGTATTATTTTTCATTAATAATTTAGGTTTTATAAGAAGTTGGACATTTCAACATGTTTGCAGTCATGTATAGACTTGTGTGAGGAAAAAGCAAAGTTAAAATTATAAGTTGCAAATTATAGCAATTTAAAAACGCAGATGGTCCATCTGTGACAGTCAGCTTAACTCAATACACTGCATGTAAAGAATGGCTTAAGAATGTACCATACTGCTACATTTTTGTAAGTTTAGGGTTCAGCAGGCCCAGTCTACATTTATTTTGATTGTATGGGAAAGACCAGCTTGGACATTTTGCGTCTTAATATTTGTTTATGCATGAATCCGGCAAACAAACAACCAACCAGCTCTGAATAAACCTACCTCTCTGGGAGAAGACTGCATGATGTAGGTCTCCAAAATCATTTTTGCGCGCCTCTGCAGAGTGAATTTGTTGGATGAATTCTTGTATTGCTCACAGGCCACGTGAAACTGCAGATTTTCCTCACTGAACTCAGACCGCAGGAACGCCTCAAAAACCGAGAATCCCACTGAAACAGATGAGATCAGAAACAACCTTACAGATCTGCTGAAGCACATTTAAATGCAGAATTACTCAATGTGAATTTCAATTGAAACAAGATGGGACATATCAAGGAGATCCTCTTCTTTAGAAAAAAGGCCAATAGCATTTTGTTTATATATCAAAGCTCTGCCTGAGACTTTTAACTGAAGCACATCAGATTCTAGACCAGGGATGAGCAAACTTGATCCTCGAGGGCCGGTGTCCCTGCAGAGTTTTGTTCCAACACTAGTCAAACACACCTGAACATGCTAATCAGTGTCTTTAAGATCACAAGAAATCTATAAGCAGGTGTGTTTGATTAGGGTTGGAGCTAAACTGTGCAGGACACCAGCTGCCCAGGACCGAGTTTGCCCACCCCTGTTCTAGACAGATAAAGTCTATAATAGCAATGCTGGATCTGAATTGATGACATGACAAAAAGGGAAATAATTAGACAGTCATCATTTAAAATGCAGCAAATGGTAAAACATTTATTTGTCTGGACCTCTTGTTATAAAACTGCTGTATTTTTTTAGTCAAATTTCAAAACTTATTTGGTAAGACTTTCTCAAGCATAGTTCAATAAGTGAAGTTTATTTATAAACTAATTTTGAGAGAATCACATGATTATGATTGCTTGCGGCTGGACCTGCATTATTCAATTTATGATTCAACAATCAGATGATTCCTAAGCCAATATAAATACCCTAAGTTCCATATCACAGCCATCTTCGTTTTAAAGAACTTCCCCCTTCCACCCCTACTCCTCCTCCTTTTCTAGATGGGTGGCACAGTGGCCCAGTGGTTAGCACTGTTGCCTCACAGCAACAACGTCACTGGTTCTAGTCCTTACCAAGCCAGTCAATGTTTCTGTGCAGAGTTTACACATTCTCCCCGTGCTCGCATGGTTTTTCCCGGTTTCCTCCCGTCGTTCAAAAGACAGACAAGCTCCTAGTAAGTAGTTATCTCTAAGAGCAATCACTATCTGTTCATTAGCTACTACAGCAAGGGAATTCTCGAGATCTACCGGAGCTCAAACTCCCCTCTCGCCTTGCAAATGGGAGGGAACCCTGGGCTTAAGTATCTTATGAGCTCAGGGCTCTCCTCCGGGACAGCATGCCAAACAAGCTTTATAATCAATCATCAGCTAAGTGTGAACTCTTGAAATTAGAGCTCTTATCAATGAAAAAGAAAATCGTTAATAAATACCACATATCGAATTTTAAAGTCATTTAAAAATTTTTATTCCGTTTATGGCGTTTGCCTCATTCATACAAGCAGGATTCAGCACGTAAATTCCTAAGTTACTCCCAAAATACATGCAAGTAAGTGGCTGTTGAACATAGAAAAGTGTAAAACAATGAAGATGAATCTCTCTTATGCTATTTGTATATTATTAAGAGTTGTTCATCATTTTGCCATGTTACACCATAGGACATATTCACAGTACAGTTCAGTAAACTCCTTATTTTTCTCAAACAGACCATTTTCCTATTTTGTCAACTACCCATCTGTCTCTTTGGCTGCTTTAAAGAGCCCCTATTATGCATTATAAAAGGTCATATTTTGGTTTTGGGGGTCTCCAACAACAGTTTCATTGTAATTTATTTTATGCCTTATTTACTGATGTACCGTATCGGCATCAATGCGCTCAGGCAAAAGATCCAAACCCAACAGGATTCATTTATTCGACTCTGAGTCGACTATTTCATAAACAAATCAAGTTTTAAACACGGTGCAGTTTTAGATTTAAACCTCAGCTGGATGTTTTCATTCACTTAGAGCTGTGTTACACACTGCATGGAAGGTCATTTTCAAAAACCCATAATAGGGGCTTTACAAAATATAGTTTTCAGTGTCATTTAAATGGGTCCGATACGTTTTGTGGGCCATGCCAACTCACATATGATCTGCTCTGTTTGCTACATTTTTCCGGAGGGGAGGGGTGGGGAAAGGGTGTGATAACACAATACCAGACTTCATTCACCCTAATAGAAATCACACTGTTTGAATCTTATATCCCCTATATCATGCAATATGTGCCATTCACCATATACAACATTATAATTGTAATTAGCAGACTTAATATTGAATGTCCTAGAATAGATGTCTGTAAGCTAACTGCAATGAATTTCCCTGCTTTGGGTTTGTCATATAGAGTGTTCAATTTGAGGGTTTCTCCCCTCACTGTTGTGACTAAAGGCTGGGACACACCAAGCAGATGGTTGGCTGTTGGACAGAATTGGACCAGATGCAGCTGACGCAAGGTGACGAAAATGTTTTTGAAGCTGCTATTTCTTTGATGACAGCTTGGTGTGTGCCCAATTTTAATAAAAATGGAGGACTTCTGATCAACACTGTTTTAGCTATTATTTATTATCTTATTTTTATATTTTAAATGACTACATTTACAAGTGTTTAGGTGAATCCTAGGTGAGTGAACTCTTGGTTGCATGTGAATGAGTGACTTTCATCTGCAGGAGAGCCATATTAAACGGGAACCTTCAGATACTAGAAAGCATTTGATTGGTCAGAAAAATATAAAGAGAAGCTGTCATGCATGTCATAAAAAAATCACTGCATGTTTTAAAGGCTTATATCTTCTAAATGAAAATGTTGTCAGTGTTTTGGATCACACTAGCTTATGCAAAACCAATGCATATTTTTATGCATGTTTTTGGCTTTTAATAGTATAGATGTCCATTAAAATGGATGGGAGATTGAAATGTGAGTCCCACAAGGTTCTATTCTGGCACCTCTCCTATTGAACCTTTATATGCTCCTACTAAGCCAAATAATGAGAAAGAACCTAATCTTTTACCACAGTTATGCTGATGATCACCTATGACTACAGACCCATTGACACCCTCTCACCCTCTACCAAGGCATTAATGAAACAGTTGGATGCGCCGAAACTTTCTTAAAGCAAAGACAAAACTGAAGTTATTGCATTTTTGAAACACAGACAACAGTCTCAAGATTAATGCGTACCTTGGCTCTATCGGTCAAACAACAACAACAAAAAATAAATAAAGTAAAGAATCTTGGACTCAGATCTCAGTTTCAGTAGTCATGTCAAAGCAGTTACTACATCAGCATATTATCTCAAAACATGCCAAAAAATAAATGCTTTTTTTTCTAGAGTTAGAAAATTGCTCATGCTTTTATCACCAGCAGGGTGGATTACTGTAATGGACTCCCCACTGGCTTTCCCAAAAAGTTGCAGCTCATCCAGAATGCTGCTTCAAGGATTTTGACCAGAACCAGAAAATCAGAGCACATCTGTCCTCAGGTCTTTACACTGGCTTCCAGTTACATTCAGAATAGATTTTAAAGTATTATTACTTATAATCAATACTACTTATAATTAATAAATCACGAAATGGCCTAAGACATCACTGAATACAAACCTAACAGATCATTCAGATGATTAGGATTGAGTAAATTAGAAACTCCAAGAGTTCAGTCAAAGCAGGGTGAATTTTCTTTTAGCTACTTTCTTTATTTGACTCTTTTGGTTCCACTTTTTATTAAGTGACTTTAACTAATATGTACCTATGAAACTAATAATTCATTACAATGTACTTATTGTGCAAATACATATTTTGCATTGTACTTATGCTTGATTAAATACCTGCATGTAATTGCATCTTTAATTAATTTCTGTATTTACATTTTAATTACACTGTTGACCATCCCTTAAACCTTAATTAAGCGGTGCTCAAACTTTTCAGCCCGTGACCCCTCAAAATAACAATGCCAGGCAACCCCCATTATTATATAAAGTGGTTATAATCACACAAATGTTGCACGCAACGGCTCACACACACCAATAGGCCTATATAAACACAAGCATATTGACAACACAAAAAGATGCAACAGTTTAACAACCATATTATTTATTATTATTATTATTGTTATTGCATGTGAGTGCCATAAAGGTGTCAGAAAGTTTAGGCTGAAACCGCAAAATTAATCTGCTGAAACTGACGCGGTGTAAATAATCTAACATAAAAACCACAGGGGCCTCAATCCAACGGGGAAAAGAAAAAAAATTGAAAAGGCTCATGGTTATTTATTTGTATGTTGATTTTTTAATGTAACTATTTTTATCTTCTGTAGGTTATGGTTTAACAATGGTTATTTTAAAAAATCGATTTCAATTTATTAGATTTTTGGAAATCACCATGCGACCCCCTCTCATTGTTCCGCGACCCCCACTTTGAGAACCACTGCATAACCCACCATTAAACCTACCCATACACCATATCCCACCTCCATTGCACCAGAAGTGCTCTGCAATAAATTATGAGCACATTAAGTAGACTGTATATTTTGATGCAAGTACATAATAGTTAAGGCCACTTATTATAAAGTGGGACCTTCCTTTTAAACCTGTTTTACTACATTTAAATTCTTATGCTTATTGTATGCTTATTTTAATCTTGTTTATGAAAAGCATTTTGAATCACCATTGTGTATAAAATTTGCTATATAAATAAACCTGGTCTGCTTTGATGATTAAAAAAAGAAGCTGTGTGTGTTTAGCGGCTCAGATGACACGTTCACAAACTAACAGCAGGTGGAGGGACAAGTACCTTGGAAGGCAACTTTTGTGTTTCTCACAGCCACATATCTTCCTTGACTTAAGGTTTCCTTAAAATCCTTTAACTATGGGTTGCAAAACTCTTGAGACAGAAAATAGAAGCAGGACAAGGGCAGGGCACTGGAGTTACAAAATTTAAAACGGTCTAGACAGCAGAACACACCCACCATACAATAAAAAAACATCTGATCATTTTATCTTACAACCAGAAAGGTTAAAGGGTTGAGCTAATCATATTTTAAACAAATTACACAAATCATGTGTAATACTAGCAAGATTATAGATTATAAGATTATAAATTATTAAGTTATTTTAGTAACATCAAGATACTATAATATTATACATATTTTATAAATATATTTTCACAGTAATTTTATATATATACATTTCACAGAAATTTTCACAGTATGTCTGATAATATTTTTTCTTCTGGAGAAAGTCTTATTTGTTTTATTTTGGCTAGAATAAATACAGTTTTTCATTAAAAAAATGTATGGTAAAAATTATTAGCCACTTTAAGCTGTATATTTTTTCGATACAGAACAAACCATCATTATACAATAATTTGCCTAATTACCCTAACTGCCTACCTAATTAACCTAGTTAAGCCTTTAAATGTCACTTTAAGCAGTATAGAAGAGTCTTGAAAATATCTAGTCAAATATTATTTACTGTCATCACGACAAAGATAAAATAAATCAGTTATTAGAAATTAGTTATAAAGTTCAATATTTTGTGGAATTTAATTTATTTATATCTAGCTGTATTTAAACATAAAAACAATTAAATGTATTTCATCTAAAATATGTTTAAATGAACAGATTTATGATGATTCTAAGCAACTTGAAAAACCATTTGAGTTAAATCAACATAAAAATGTTCAGTCTAATAACAACTACAAAGCTAATACATTGCTTTCTGAGAAACATGCTATTTATGACTATTTAATTTTTTTATTCATTAAATAACTCCTATTTATGGAGATAATTAGTTTCCAAATTAGCAAGTGTCGTGACACAGAAAGAACTGAATTTCTCAATCTATTTTATACCTTGTCTCAAACGTTCAGTAGCTGCAAACTGTGCTACATGCGAATATTATTCGATTTTACAATGCATGTCAACACTAATAAATTGCTTCCAAGGGGCAGAACAAAAATCATATTAGGGTTAATAACAGTCTTCTGTTTTTAATCGCTGTTTGAGAGACGGACACGATGAGATGCTGTTAATCATTAAGTCCTATTAATTACTGAAAGGAAATTACTGGAAGCATGACGTCTGGAGTCAAGACAAGTGTAACCCTATCCAGCATTTGTCCACCGTTTACACAAGCTTTACTACTAATAAAAGTTTCTTAGATGTAATTTGTTCTTAGAACAGGAAGTGTGTTGTGCTTTTTCTTCTAACATTAGAGGTCAGATATAACAATTATTCTAGGGCAACTATTATTATAACTAATAAATGCCCAAAACACACATTCTGAATCTGAACACTGGTGCTACAAACATGAGTCATAAACCTCAAGATGTGTGTTGTTAAAAGAACAATAATAAAAACAGGCCAAAATATTCTATAGCCACAAGGGACTTGACTCATGTCTGAAAATGACCTTGAAAATGTAAAAATTCTAAGTGCTTTAATTTGAATCTGTGCAATAGTACGTCATCACTCTCAGCCTCTGGGGGAAATGTTCATTACTGCTTTATCTTGCTTCTTCATTTCAAGTTGTTTGGGAATTCTCCGGAAACCTGTGCCTGAAGCTACACAAGTGGTTCCTCAATGTTAGAAGGAAATAGTTTCAAGGGTGTTTCATTGATGTAATACAGAACCACAGATTTACCACCAAGATGACCCACACTACCGTTTAGAAGTTACACTTGTTCAATCAAATATTGTTAAATTTAAAAAAATATATTAGCTTTTATTCATACACTGTAAAGGATTTTTGTAACTTTAAGGTTACTGTAGATTCTACAGAAATTGTTAACAGTGTGTGCGTATCTATCCATCCATCCATCCATCCATCCATATATATATATATATATATATATATATATATATATATATATATATAGGCCTGTGCTATATTGGGGAAAAAAGGGACATTACGTTATTTCGTTTTTCTGCAATTTTGTGTTGCGATATGATTATAATTTTACAAGATAACTTTAGTAACTCTCTTTGGAAAGAATTTCCCAATCACTTTGATTAGGAGTTTGGCTTTGTCAGGGATATTGTACGTTAATGAATGTGCACAAAATACACAAAATGCATAAAAATACATAAAATCAACAAACTACAGCAAAAATGAAAACAATAAACAATGATAAAAATAAAATAAACACTGCTTAATGGTTTTTGGTGGAGTGTAACAGTATTGAGGTAGATAAATTAATAATAAAAAATAATAAAATGTAAAATAAAACTGCATGTACACTCTCAGAAATAAAGGTACACAAGCTGTCACTGGGGTGGTACCTTTTCAAAAGGTACACATTTCTACTTGAATGGTCCATATTGGTACCTCAAAAGTATATATTAGTACCTACAAATTTTAAGAGGAACACTTTTGTACTTTTTAGGTTCTACTATGTATCCTTTATGTATTAATATGAACCTTTTAGGTACAAATTTGTACCTTTTAAAAGGTACTACACCTGTGACAGCTTGCGTACCTTTATTTCTAAAAGTATAGTCTAATCACGGGTCAAATACAGAGCTCACTGCATAATTTTAGCCAAAAATATTGACAGGCCGACAGGTTTTAAGAAATCGCAGACAAATGCCTGAAATCATAGGCAAATCAGTGCTCATTCATTCAATTATTAATGACGCAAACTGAGAGAATCGCAGATGAGACGCCGACGCCCGTGAGATATTTGGAGTAAAAAATAACATTGGTGATTACCTACAGCTAAAGAGAGCTGTTGCTGCACTAGTATGAGTATCTGCAAGCCAGCAGAGGTTAGGAGAGAAGTTAAAAGGGCTTCTTTTCAAGTCTATTTAGACCCAAGAAATGGAGGATAAACTAGTGGAAATTTGGCAGGAGCACCCGCGTCTATTTGACGCATCATCTAAACCATACCCCAACCGGAGGAAAAAGAAAAAAAGTTGAGGAGAAATTGCTAATTCCCCTTAAAACCTAGGTGAGTAAAATAATTACATTTTCTACCCCACTAAAGGCTTCTTTCTCACTATGTAGTTAATAACAAAAGATATACTACGTGACCACGCGTTGTTTCTATTTTACTTCTCGTGTGTCTTTGGTTGTGGGACATAGTTTGCAGATCAAGACAAAATTGTCGGCGAATCTCCTATTGTAAAGTCATGCAGTGTGAAATCCCCTGTCGCCGATTAATCTTACAGTATAAACAAAGCAGCGGCGAAACGCTACCCCAGATAGTCATGCAGTGTGAGAACATCTGTGACGTGACTACTTTGAAAATCATGGAGTCTGAACTCGGCATAACACATCAAAATAAATATCTTTCACACTATAATATTAGGGTAAAACTTTGCAATCAAATCATGCGCTCTGAACTGTAGATCCTGGTTAATTCTAATCCCAACATGACTATAAAGATCCTGAATGTGACATTGTGATATTGACACTGAAACAATATATTGTGCAGCATATCAAGATGCTCTCGGACCAATGAGAGTACAGTTGTACCCACATATGATTTGCATAATCACATTCTGGAATTTTGCCATTTTAACCTGAACCAAAACAAGAGGGTAATGCAACACTGTCAAACGAATCACACTTTTGTTTGACCCTAAACGTACAAAGTTATTTTACCCTAATCTGAACAGTGGTGTATCTCTCATTAACCACATGATGTATTAGTCCTCTCTGCATGTAACATTTTCATTAGGACAACATTTCAAGCATGAACGGCCAGTCGGCCACAAATATCTTGATTTCCAAGAACAGCGTTCCAGGTCAAAGTTGGTAGCGCAACAGCGGTTCATTAGCATGTGACGCTATGGTGTCTCGCAAGCGTCCTTTGACCAGCTGCCTGGCGACTCAAGCAGTTTATAAAGGAGTGCTCACCTCTGCTGGCCAGCAAAGTTTCAAGGCACTTGGCCCAGCTCTCCACTTCTTTCCTGCTGAGTCGACCTCTGCCATGGCCAACCTGACTCCACTGCCGGAGGAAAGGCTTTCGAGAACGCTTCTCTTTCGTGCTGAGAGAAACAAGAGTGTGAGAGGATACGTGACAAAAAAGCACATTGAAAAATTGTGGAATTAATAACACTGGGCCAAAACAGGGGACTAGGAGGAGTTTTGCAAGAGGGGGACAAAAGATAGGCCCAAAGCAAAAGAGTGCAAAAATGTGATTTGATTATTTGCGGAGGTGATGTCTTTTACCTGGTTACATTCTCTCGGTGCTCTTTCAAATTCGTATGCGAGGAATGTGGTGAATTCTTGTGTGGAAAAAAAAACAATTAAAGGTCAATGATACGCACAACATCATCATGATGATAACCGGCTTGATTGAAAATGTTCCATGACTTAAACAAATGTCATATCAGTGTTACGTCATGGAAATCTTTCTGACAAAGCCAGATACTATATCAAATGCCAAAATATTCCAGAAAGTGAAAGTTTTAATTGTATCACTTGCACTGTCACAATAGATAAAAAACCACACACATTTTACATCATTAGTGTGATTCCCTTTATATAAAACCAGAACATCCAGTTCCTCTTTCACTGCTTGGTTCTCCTTTTACTGTTTGGACAAAGCAACATTATATCTCAAGGGGTAGAACTGAGTAAAAGCAAGCTTTACTAATTGTGTAATACAAAAGCATTCGTGGCTTTTCACATCATCACACTTGGCTTGCAGATTTGAAAAAAGCAAGACTGTATCCTGGAGCTGAAAGCTCTGCAGCTCCTGATGTATACGAATGACATGTTGTACTGTACAAAGCATAAACAAGGCTCGACAATAAAAAAGGCTTAATGGCCCAGGGCCAGTGTGAGAAAGCTTCAGAGCAATTGAAGGAAATGTCTTTCAGCATATTATATTATGTGATCTATTTATTAGATTTCAGTTTTTTTTTTTTTATTATTCACTGGTTGTAAAAGAAGAACACCATCAAGCTGGCTGACATTTAAGGGTTATGTGATAGTTTTGGCATCAGTTCGAGTGGGTGGACAAAGATAAATGAGGAAGGTTTTGCACACACAAGTGTTTTCTAGACATTATTTGTCATGAAATATACATTATAGTGGTTCAATTCCTGGAATATTTGTACATTAAAAAATAAATTATTTGTTGCAAATGTCTTGGAAATCAGCTAAATAAATTGTATTAAATAAATGAATTTAATTCAAATTTACTAGTTGCATTTAAAAGTTTGGGGTCAGTAATATTTTGTTCAAACATTTAGTTCAGCAAGGACACATAAAAATGACAGTAATATATATATATATATATATATATATATATATATACAGAGTTGAAGTCAGAATTATAAACCACTCTGAATTATTAGCCCCGTTTTTTTCCCCAATTTCTGTTTAACGAAGAGCTTATTTTTTCAACACATTTCTAAACATAATAATTTTAATAACTCATAACAACTTCTAACAACTGTTTTATTTTATTTTTGCAATGATGACAGTAATTAATATTTGACTAGATATTTTTAAGACACTTCTATAAAACTTAAAGTGACATTTAAAGGCTTAACAACTAGGTTAATTAGATTAAATAGGCAGGTTAGGTAATTAGGCAAGTTACTGTATGACGATGGTTTGTTCTGTAGACTATTGGAAAAAATATAGCTTAAAGGGGCTAATAATATTAACCTTAAAATGGTTATAAAAAAATTTTTAAACTACTTTTATTACTACCGAAGTAAAACAAATAAAAGTTTCTCCAAAAGAAAAAATATTGTCAGACATACTGTGAAAATTTACTTGCTCTGTTAAACATCATTTGGGAAAAAAAATTCAAAGAAAAAAATAATTCAAAGGGGGGCTAATAATTCTGATTTCAACTGTATGCTGTTAATTTCCAGAGAAATTGTTATTTTCAACTTCTATTTGTCAAACACTTAAATATGGACAAACCCAACCATTGTGTTATAAAGGGAAGTTTTGAAATTAGAAGTTTCAAAATGGACTTAGTGAAAAAAATGTTTCTTGAGAACCAAATCAGCATGTTAGTATGATTTCTGAAAGTGTGTATGGCACTAAAGATTCAAGAGACGATGCTAAAATTGATCATACTAATAACTTACTTTTTTTTTAAATACTTAAATTTAAAAGTTACTTTAGTAGCAATAAAATTGCACAATATTGGTGTTTTACTGCATTTCTGACCAAACAAACGTAGCCTTTGTCAGTATTAAAACATCAAACTGCAGTAGAAGAAAACATTTTATAGTCACCTTATCATCATGTGAACTGAACTATTTAAATGGTCATATCAAAGATTGAATGATTATTACAATTCAATGAACTTCATTAACTAAAAGCATTAGAACTCACCTGTCCAAACAAACTTTTAATGTGTAATTTAGCAGCTGCCAGCTTGGAGTGAGCTTGCAGCCGGTGATGAGGAGTTTCTTCGGATTTCTCTTTGGATGGGAAAGAGCCAGGAAGAGTGCAACACTTCTCCACACTCTCACTGCTGCCTTTGGCATTGGAAGTGAGCTGGCTGTCACTGTAGGCTTTAAAACTCTCATTAAGATTCGTAACTCTCAGTAGATCAGAGTCCTTATCCAAGCCAACCAGATTTTCCACACTAAAACTGTGTTCTCGGATCAGCCCACCCTTTCCTGCACTCTTTGACTTTGCATCTGGGGTGCAAGGGTAGGATGCTGAAGCCCCGTCCATCTCATCCTCTGAGCTGCCTGGGCGATCATCTCTATCCACCTGCTCCCATCCATCCAGCTCTACTAATGTACCCACTGAACTGGACTTACGAAGCATTTTGATGGGTTCCAAAACACAGATTGATAAGGAAAATGACAGAGGCCTGCAGAAAGGACAACAGAACAGACAAAAATAAATAAAAATATTTACAGCATCAGGCATCACTATGGCGCAGTGGGTAACACGATCGCCTCACAGCAAGAAGGTCGCTGGTTCGAGCCCCAACTGGGTCAGTTGGCATTTCTGTGTGGGGTGTGCATGTTCTCCCTGTGTTTGCGAGGGTTTCCTCCGGGTGCTCCGGTTGCCCCCACAGTCCAAAGACATGCACTATAGGTGAATTGAATAAGCTAAATTGGCCGTAGTGTTTCCCAGAGTTGGGTTGCAGCTGGAAGGACATCAGCTGCGTAAAACATATGCTGGATAAGTTGGCGGTTCATGCCGCTGTGGCGACCCCAGGTTAATAAAGGGACTAAGCCAAAAAGAAATTAAATGAATGAATATTCAGCATCTTTTGCTGTCTATGTGTCAATACCAAACAAACTACATCTAGCTCAGACAGACTGACAAATTCAAATAAAATGAACTTAAGGTCTGTTCTATGAAAGAACTTTAACATCTATGGAAGCTTTTCATTGAACAAAAATGGAAAAGAGTAAATAAGTTTAAAGGGAAAGGGAGGAGGGGTCTTTAAATTATGTATAAATGTATAAATAATACATTCTTCACTAAAGTAAAGGTTAAGAACTGTTAATTGAAAGGTAAAACTACAGATAGATAAGATTAATAAATAAATGAAAAAGTACTTCATACTGTGGACTACTATACTATGTTTCCTGCTGACTTCTCATGTAAAAGAATTATTATCTCTTTGCCATATCATTGTCTAATTTAGCGTAAAATCTCGTAAGACGTTTCCTCAGATTGCTTCAGAGATACTGTTTGTTTTTGAAACCTACTTAGTCTGTTAACCTTGTTAAAAAGTTAAAATGTAACTTACGTTTTTTGCTTTACTTTTGTTAGAAACGTGTCAACTGAAGACTCTGAAGTCAAGAATGAAGGAAACACTTGAGAGAAAGAGGAAAAACAGGCACGACGCGTCAAAACACAAATCTCAATTTATAATCAACAAACGTCTCTACATAGTGAGCGCGCGAAATCGTTGATTTTAAAAAGAGATCTCTAGATTGACGCGTCGCGATTCTATTGCAGATTGTAAACAACAACAGTAACAACACAAAAAAACGTGAAACATGAGCACTGCAAAACAGCTGACATATGTCATATAAGCATACCTTATGGAAGATCGTTTTTCTCGCCTGTGACAGACCCCAACAGGTTTAGTATATCCGAGTGATTCGGAGTCGGTTTGTCTGTTTACACAGAGCGGTTCGATCCAAAGCGAGTGGGCTGAACGGAGCGAGACTTCGTGCGACCGTCTAAAATCACGTCTTGCTTGTCCCTCTTTTCATTTTACTCCTGAATGACAAAAGCAACGCCTATTTTCTTTCTGTCACACCCATAGTTCAGTCTGGACTTGCCCTTCCTACATAGAAAGACGAGTAGCATATAATAATGACACTGAAAGCGCTGTTGAGTTTAACACGAGAACTGTTACTGTACTTGACGTCAAAATACCACAGTTACTACAAACATTGTAATGACGCTGTGGAAACTGGTTAGTCATCACGTGTCAGATATTAAACAAAATTGCAGGAGGATTACTGTTTGAGGATGATAAAAGATTGACACCTTATTGTTTTACAGCAGTAACAATAGCTGTAGTAGGCTACGTAATTATAATTTGGAGTAAACCTCTGTTACTATGGTACAGTTTTACAAGGCGCATTCAGAACATCCGTTTACTGTCTCCATTGATATTAATAGTACATTTTTGCCCATTTCTTTTGTAAATGACAAAATTAATACTATAATACGTTTTACGTGAATTCCTGCTCTCCGCTTGAGATAAATTATGATTAACAGGTGTTTGTGGCGATTGCTCTCGAAGAGCGCCCTCTACAGACCATGCATGCATAGGACAATGGATACTCAGTTGATTGATGAGATTTATCCTTTTAATCTTTTTAAACGAATTAAGTAGGCCTAAATGAAATAATATATTCGCTAAACCGGCATTTATGAAATCCAAGAGCCATTTTATTTGTGACTTTATAAGAAGTTGGATTCCTGGACGTCTGCAAATCCATGTTTGTCCGGTAGATGGAGCGGTTACACAACACATGTTTTTATAGCAAGTTCTTTTAGCGCAGGGAAAATGTGAATGTGAAATTAATCATATTAAAGAAGCAGTTATTAGATTGAATATTAGTACTAGTATAGATTGTAGTTTTTAGTCACATTTTTAAAATGATTAGGCAACCATCTAAAAATGTTATTTTTATAATAGCAACATTTTTTTACTATCATAAAAGTTAACTTATCATAGAATGTGTATACACTCACCGGGCACTATATTAGGTACACCTTACTAGTAACGGGTTCGACCCCCTTTTGCCTTTAAAACTGTCTAAATCCCTTGTGACATAGATTCAACGAGATACTGTAAATATTCCTCTGAGATTTTGGTCTATATTGACATGTTAGCATCATGCAGTTGCTGCAGATTTGCCGGCTGCACATCCATGATGTGAATCTCCCGTTCCACCACATCCCAAAGGTGCTCTATTATATTGGAATCTGGTGACTGTGGAGACCATCTGAGCACAGTGAACTCATTGTCATGTTTAAGACACCAGTCTGAGATGATTCGTGCTTTATGACATGACGCGTTATCCTACTGGAAGTATAGCCATCAGAAGATAGATACACTGTGTTATATGGACAGACAATGTCAGCAACAATACTTAGGTAGGCTGTGGCATTGATAATGCTCAAACGGAACTAATGGGCCCAAAGTGTGCAAAGAAAACATCCCTCACACCATTACACCACCACCATCAGCCTGAACCATTAATACAAGGCAGGATGTATCCATGCTTTCATGCTGTTGACGGCAAATTCTGAGCCCACCATCCAAATGTTCCAGCAAAATCGAGACTCAGCAGACCAGGCAACACTTTTCCAGTTTTCTATTGTCAAATTTTGGATGAGCCTGTGTAAATTGTAGCCTCAGTTTCCTATTCTTAGCTGACAAGAGTGGTACCTGGTGTGGTTTTCTGCTGCTGTAGCCCATCTACCTCAAGGTTTGATGTGTTGTGCATTCAGAGATCCTCTTCTGTATACCTCGGTTATAACGAGTGGTTATTTGCGCTATTGTTGCCTTTCTAAGAGCTTGAACTAGTCTGACCATTCTCCTCTGACCTCTGACATTAACAAGGCATTTGCGCCTACAGAACTGTGACTCACTGGATATTTTCTTTTTTTTTCAAACCATTCTCTGTAAATCCTAGAGATGGTTGTGAGTGAAAATCCCAGTAAATCAGCAGTTTCTAAAATACCCAGACCAGCCAGTCTGAGTCTGGCACCAACAAACATGCCACGTTCAGTCACTTAATCACCATTCGTCCCCATTCTGATGCTCGATTTGAACTTGAAGCATAAATGCATTGAGTTGCTGCCATGTGATTAGCTGATTAACAATTTGCACTTACGAGCAGTTGGACAAGTGTACCTAATAAAGTGGCCGGTGAGTGTATAAAGGCAACATAATTGGCTTCTATCTGCAGTTAAAATTGATTTTTAATTAGTTGAAAAATTGATGTAAATTAAAAAGTTATATTCAGTACTATACATGTTCAGTTTGGTTCTGTACAACTGCACATTAATGCTCCATGATGAACCTTTAAGAACCAAATAAACTTCCCATTCTGCCAAATATTTTATATAGTACAAATGGGGTTGTTTAACATCAAAATATTCAATATATTTAGAAAAAAAATGGTTCTTTGTGTATGCCCTCTGCATGTCTTTCCATGAATCATTACATAAAGCCCCTCAATACCCTACAGAGTCAGACCCCCCTCTCAGTACTACAACCATAAAACACACACACACACGCACGCACGCACGCACGCACACACATATATATATATATATATATATATATATATATATATATATATATATATATATATATATATATATATATTATCTTAAAATCTTTAATAAATATTTCAAGTGACTTATTTTTCAAACAAACAAGTCTTTTCCATAAATGCACTGTGCTTTAGGCGTGAAACAAATCACAAAGTCTCTCAAGAACTTGCATCAAAGTTCAACAAGTAAAGTTGCATGCATGAGCTTGTCACAAGAAATGTGATCTTGAATATTAATCCTACCAACAGAACTCAAATTAAAATATAGTATATTATTTCTAGTTTGAACAGAAAGTCAAAACGATTCTGAACATCACATTATTGTACTTTCTGATAATATATGCACACATAAAGTGCTCGACATCATATTAAGAGCTTTGTTTCTTAGATTTGCAGTTTTAGATCGAACATCTTTTGTCAAGATAACTTCATTAAACAGTTGCAACGATTAAAAAGTAAATGACTTGTATCGTAGGGCCTTTGCCAATTATACACACTAGAATTTCTAGAAACAATGACTTTGATTACATTTGTAAATGAAATATTTTTATAATATTTTGATGCAATTTTTAATGGTTAACTGTTATAACATATGTTTCTGTATATGTAAAAATGATAAATAAATATTTAGAATTAGGCTGTTTTATAGTTTAGTACATAGGTCTCAAACTCGGTTCCTGGAGGGCCGCAGCTCTGCAGTTTTGACAAGCACAACTGATTCAACAAATCAAGGTGTTCAAGACTACTAGAGACTATTGAGCAGGTGTGAGTTGGAGATGGTTGGAGCTAAACTGTGCAGAGCTGAGGCTCTCCAGGGATTGAGTTTGAGACCATTGGTTAAGTCACTTTATTGAGAAAAAAGAAATACAGTGCATTCTGAATGGGATGTATTACCCTCCAAACGGCACTTTGGAGTGAAAATAATCACAGTGCACAAAAAGAAGTGTCATTCCAAGTTAAAGTTTAGAACCAACCACTTCAAAGAGTCTTTAGAAATAAATGGTTTTGGTACAACTGATGGACACTTCAGGCATCAGAGATCCTTTGCACAAGGAAGTTGTTTGGCGTCTAACAGCACACAGGTTCCATTTGTAAGGGCTTATCCATATTCCCTAATCCCTTCAAAGCTGTCAATCTGAAGAGTAAACCCTTTGAAGGGAATTGGGCATAAGGATGAATCCTTCTGAATGGAACGCGAGGACAGTGAGACATTGAGCTATTGAATTTTTGTGGATGAAGGAAATTCCAGCCACTGTTCAACTGTCTGTTAATGCAAATACCTAATCAGACAACCACTTGACAGCTCTGTGCATTTGATCATATAGAAGTGATTAAACGGATCTTTTTAAACAAAGCAACAGACAGAAAGAAAGGTGATTTATATGACTTTTGTATGTAACATGGCTGTTGGTACAGGCTTTTCAGTGGAATTCTGAAATGAGAATGGTCAGGAAAAAAAAAATCAACAAGAGACACTTTGTGATCAAAAGTGCTTTGTTGATGCCAGAGAACGACCAAACTGATTCAGGCTGATGGAAAAGTGACAGTGAACAAAAACAGATAAAGTCTGCAGAAGAGCAGAAAGTAAAACATTGAAGCAGGGGTCCGTTCTTCACACCTTGCTTAAATGATCTAAGATGATTTGGCAGATCCTGGATCTATTCATCTTGATAAATGATCTCTGGCTAGTTTGGTTCTTCAAACAATTTCACGAGTCAGATTTAAATGTCTGATGAACTGATCTGAGATTGCAGCTTGTGTTGTGAAGGACTGTACCATCGATCATCGAAATCATGACCAGCATTGCAACAATTGGCTGACGGCACAGCAGCGTAATGGCATCATCTGATTAATATTCAATTATCCATGTGAGCTAAATTACATAAAATAAACGGTTTGTTAAATATGATACTCAATAACTTTCCACCTTTGTTGTGGGCTGCATGCTTGGCCTTTTCATGTGTCAAGAGCAATTTATTTAGTTTTACAGTTAGAGCGGATTTTCCTTATAGTAGGCATAGAAGTATTATAGTAGCCGTTTTAATAATCGGTTTAATGAATAATTGGATATTTAATAAAGCATTTTGATTTTGGTAATGGTGTCTGCAACTTTTATGAAGCATCAAATCACTGGCATATTAACTGTCAAAACATGTTTATGACTGCATAAATGAATTATTGCTTTTAAAAAAAAAATCACATATTGTGCATTTCTATTATCATACACAAATTGTACTAAAGCGATTTAAAAAGTTCATATCAATAGTTGGGCGAGGCAGTGGCGCAGTAGGTAGTGCTGTCGCTTCACAGCAAGATGGTCACTGGGTTGCTGGTTCGAACCTCAGCTCAGTTGGCGTTTCTGTGTCGAGTTTGCATGTTCTCCCTGCCTGCGCATGGGTTTCCTCCGGGTGCTCCGGTTTCCCCCACAGCCCAAAGACATGTGATACAGGTGAATTGAGTAGGCTAAATGGTCTGTAGTGTATGAGTGTGTGTGTGAATGTGTGTGTGTGAATGTTTCCCAGAGATGGGTTGTGGCTGGAAGGCCATCCGCTGCATAAAAACTTACTGGATAAGTTGGCGGTTCATTCTGTTGTGGCGATCCCGGATTAATAAAGGGACTAAGCCGACAAGAAAATGAATTAAATAAAAAGAATATCAATAGTTTTTCTCTTTGTACTTGCATTTCAGGGGTGCAGATTGCATAAGTTTTATTTACATATTTTAACTTTAAATAAATAAATAAAGGTAAAATATATATATATATATATTTTCCCAAGTGTATATATCTACTATTGTGAAAAAAATATCAGAATTTGGCACATACTTGTATTATCTTTGCTTGAATTGACCTGATCTAATCCTGTTTATATGACATGAGCCTGCTCCCGACCAGGTTTGATCTACCAGAACTGTTGCTTTGACAACAACTTTCAGATCAGTTTTGAAGAACGGAACGATCCTGGATCGTGTCAAATCTCCAGCTAACTGAGTAATCCCCGTACCAAGAACGGACCCCAGGTGTGAAGCAGAACCAGGCTGGTGTCATTGTCAGCTAACGAGAAAAATAATCTGAGCCGGCAGTTGTTTTACCAAAACTGGACAACCGAAAATTGATGTCTCAATTACTGCGGTGACATTTAGAAGGGTCAGATCTTAGTGAACATGACAGCACATCCATACTGCTTTTGTATAGAGGTTCAGATTGCTTCTGATCATCGATATTTACATTAGATGTCGTCTACTCTGATGTTGTCTATTGAAAGGAATGCGTCAACAGAGCCACCATTTTAGTACAGAATAGCGCTCTTTTGAAATAAATGTGGGACCAAGGTTATCCATCCTCATACATACAGCTTCTGGTGGTGTAAGGGATATTTTCTTTGCATATCCTATCAATGTTTTAACTTAAGTTCCACAGTGTACACACTAAATAGTTCTTCAGCCATACTTCAGGGGTGGATGAGCACTACATAGCCATTATATAGAGAGCCTGTAAAGGGGTTAAAGTGTTAACAGTAATATAAGCATGTGTATATCTACAGATATAGTAACTTTCGGAACAATTCTTTAATAACCAGTCCAACACCTTTCATTTTTTTTAAAGAGTTTATATTGAAAGTAACCTTCCAACAGAGCAACGATGATAGTACTTTAAAAAAGTTGACACCAGCACAAATGAAATTTAGATTACTAAAGTAGTATTGTACAATTATGCCAGCAAGGAAAAACTTTTCCATAAGATACTAAATAACAGTTATGTTAACTTCTTAAACCATTGTTAAGGGAATGCTTTAAATTTAAAATGGAGCCATGTGAAGATGCTGACAATCCAAATCCACAAGATTAGCTCCAATAAGCTGCAAAAATAAATAAATAAATAAATAGAGGATTAATAACTTAACTCCTCAATTCATTAATGTGTAAAATAACTTACACTGAGGCACGCAGGAGTATGCGGTGTACAGGTACTTGTATGTGCCATAACATGGATCTGAGAAGACCCCATTGGAGGCTGAAATGGAGCAGCTGTTCTTCCCTTCACATCTACACAAACAGAAAAACAAGTTAAGTGAAACCCATAGAATTAAAATTGGATTTAATTGTAATTAAACACTTTTATACTGACGCATTAGCAACCAGTGTCTGTGAATTTAGGGCATAGCAGTTGGTTTTGGCAGTTTGAGAAGCAGGTCGTCCAGCAGCACATGTGCTGCTATCAGTTCGCCCGTAGTTAGCAGTATGGATGTGTATGAGAGATCCATCCTCTAAAAGGTAGGTTTCACAATAAGTTAATTTACCATTGGCCAAACTCTGCAACTGTTGGAGATTAAAAGTTAAAAAAAAAAAAAAAAAAAAAAAAAAAAAAAAAAAAAAAAAAAAACCCTACACACCACATTTGAAGTTAGCAATGGCATTTTCACAGACTGCACTTGAACCTGTAGAAGAGTCAAGAAACAACATTCAAAACACTGAAGCAGGCAAATGTACATCAGCATTTAAAGGAGACCTGGCTTTCACCTGAAATCATGATATTGCAAATAACTCAAGACTACACTTCAATTTATAGCAACTGTCCAAAGAGAGAGATCAGAGTTTGCAATACTCCTTTTAAGTGATTGTGGATAGTTTAACATTGTTAAGTGTACTTCCAAGATGAAGGTCTTGCAGAGAAACACCACTGACCTAATTCAGCTGAAGTTATATGCATGAACAGATCTTTGAGTAGCAAACAGGAGGATACTCACGGATTTCAGGTGGGAGGCAGTAGTAGGTGACTAAAAGGTATGGGCGCATATTAGGGCAGGGATCAGTGAAGGTATCAGTTGTAGCAAAAACTTCACAACTTTGCAGCCCATTGCAGCTACATGTGATGACAGGAAGCATGTGCGCACACACACACACACACACACACACACACACACACACACACACACACACAAAAAAAAAAAGAGGATGTTAATCCCACCTTGAGAAACCATTTAAAATTTGTGAAGGATCCTTATTAGCTGCCATGGTATGAGGACCGCGAGTATAAACAGTCAAAATGAACAAGTTAAATAGTTTCCACAAATCAATACCTTTGTGAAACAGGAGCCAGTGCGTTGAAGTAGCAGTTGGGGTTAGGGGGAAAGGCTGGACGCCCTTTACAGTCAAATTTACTAGTACGTCCATAGTTCGCAGCAGTTATCTGAAGCACACCATATGCTACATGGAGAAAAAGCATCACACTTTTTATTAATGAATCGATGTGATCTTACACAAACTGAAAAAAGGGTTGTGGGAAAACTACTCACCGCATTTCAAGACCGCACTGTCACCATTACAAATCACTATGCTTTCTAGAAGGTAGAGAAAGGTCACAGGTTTGCACAGAAATTAAGTTGCAGAGGGAAAATGAACTTCTTTTACCATCTCATCTCTAGTGTGCAAGTGCTTGATTTTACTTGTCATTCAACTACATTTAATGACTTGTTGCTGGTTTCATCAAAGGAGATGTGGGAAGAAAAAAAAACTTACTAGTTAATGGCGACACTTCAATATCCACAGGGGGTAGATTTAATGCAATAGCTGCAGATAGGCTACAGTTCATGAGCACTGTGAAAGAAAGCAATAAATTAAAGCAATAAAACATTCACTGTTAATCTCACTCACATTCATAGTGCAAAAACCCAGAAGTGTCAAGGTAAATTTTAATGCCGTTTAAATAGGTTCTTTACCAGCAAGGACCAGTTTAAGCCACTGATCTATACTGTACATAATTGTATTGATCATTGGCTCAAACCAGCAAAAAGCAACTTTGCATGCTACCTCAGCTTTTAAAAAATAATTATGAAAGCTTACAGTTGAGTAAGGCCCTGAGAGAAAACATAGTACTGGTGTCGCCGTCAATGGTACAGGGAACTGTTAATGAGTCAGATTTATAGGAGGGTGGTGTGAGTGATAATGAGCCACAGCTGTGCACCACACCATCTCAAGCCAAACATTAACATTTTTGGTGTAGTTTTGGTTGTGTTAGTCCTCTTGGAGTTTTGTGTTTATTATTTTGTTAAATTTTATATGCTACTTTTGCCAGTTTTCCCTCATACTTCCATAATGTGTTTAAATCATAAAACTCTGCTCATAAAAATTGATATGAAACGTTTACAAGCTTTCAAATGCAAGTTTAGTTCAGAATAAAAGCAATAGACCTATTTTGCATATTTTAATGAAGCTTTGATTTTGCTGGTTCAAAAACGTGATTGTCTTCTCTATTCAAGCAGCCTGTGTTTGGAGTAGGCTAATATGTAGGCCTATTGATCACTGCCAATGACAGAAGGCTATGCTTTTACTGTACAGTCCTTTATTTTGTAATTAGTAATATTTGTGTAATAATGGCTTAAAAATAAGTTATATTCCAAAGCAGAGGCAATATAGTCACTTTATGATCAGAAAATTAAAGCTTGTTACGTTTTTTTTTTTTAGGAAGGTGGTTTAAGCATTAACAGGTATACAAAACCTCTGCATGGCCAGACAAATAGTTACTTTAAGAAAACAAAATGGAAATGAAGTTAACAGATACATAACATTCTCACTGTTCTCTTTTAACCTTAAGATGCCATTTTAATACAACACCCTCAAATTTGTTGGAATAAGAGAAAGAGAGAAAGAGGGAATAAGAGAAAGAGAGGGAGAAAGAAGAAAAAGCTGAAGAAGGCTTGTGGACAGGACAACATCATTAATGAAATGCTGAAACTCAGCAGCCCTGACAAAATTCAGGCTTTTGCCAAACTGTTCAACCTGATCCTATCCCCTGGTGGCATCCCTGAGACATGGTCTGAAGGACTGATCACACCTATATATAAAAACAGAGATAAATTTAACCCCAATAATTACCATGGCATTTTTGTTGGCAATAACTTAGCAAAACTCTTTTGCAATATTATTAACAACCGAATAGTGACATTCATCACAAAACAGAACATCTGAAACAAATCACAAATTGGCTTCTAACCAAAACAACGGACATCTGACAATATTTACTCCCTTCATTCTTTAATAAATAAAAACATAAAAGACAAACAAAGAAAGATTTTCTCTTGTTTTGTTGATTTTAAAAAAGCTTTCGGTTCTATTTGGGATGACGGACTATTATATATACAAATTGTTGCAAATTGGCATCGGTGGAGAAGTATATAGCATTATAGAAGCCATGTATAAGAAAATTAAAAGTTGGAAATATGACAACTGAGTTTGTCCAGCAGAGTTGAGGGGTGCGACAGGGCTGCAGCCTGAGCCCAACCCTGTTTAACATCTACATTAATGATCAGGCAGACATTCTAGACGGCTCCGACTGAATCCCCGGCCTCACTCTGCTTGACTCTGAAGTAAAGTGCCTGCTGTATGCAGATGACCTGGTGCTGCTGTCTCCCACAGCAGAGGGTCTCCAACACAGCCTGACTCTGCTGGAAGAATACTTTGAGGAATGGGCACTGATGGTCAACCTGGACAAGACCAAAGTCATGGTGTTCTAGAAGAAGGCCAGATCTCAGGGACACAAATATCAGTTCACATACAGAGGAGAAGATCTAGACCTTTGTAGCAGTTACTCTTACCTGGGCATCTAGATCCCTGCCTCTGGGGGCTGCAGTCCCGCTGTCAAGACTCTGAGCGAGAGGGCTTGCAGAGCATATAAAGTCACGCTTTGGCCAATTACAGATACCTACTAAAAGATGGATTAAATTATATCACGCTATTATTAAACCAATCTTACTATATGGGAGTGAAATTTGTGGACCAGTATTAAAATTAAAAAATTGGAATAAAAGCTAAATTGAACGAACACAATTAGAATTTGCTAAAAATAAATTATCCACAGAAACACATCTAACATTGCCTGCAGGGCTGAACTGGGTTTATACCCGCTAAACCTGGAGATTCAGAAACGAGCTGTTCAGTTCTGGCTGCACCTGCATCAGTCTGTCCAATATAAAACCCTTCTGGCTTATGAAAAACCTACTGTGTCTCATCCTCTAAACAGGCTGGTATCTGAACTTCTGAAAAAAAACACAAACGGAACCCGTCCCCAAACAAAACCTTCACAAACAAATTGACAAAAAATTTAAATATAATTATGATGAAAAACTAAAAAAGTGAATTCAACCTCCAAATTAAACTTCAATGTTATTCGGCCGTAAACAGAACCACACAGCTGGCAAATTATTTATCATTAAAACAAAAAAAACACATTCTTTCTTAAAATCGCCTCTGTGATCATGACCTAGAAATAGAAAAGGGCAGACATAAAAAATCCTGGACTCCTAAAGAACAGAGATTATGTAAACAATGTGAAACAAACCAAATAGAGGATGAACACACTTCCTTCTGTTCTGCCCCAAATAATGGCAATGCCAATAAAGCAACTAACTTGAACTTGTAAGAAAGAGAGAGAGAGAAAGAGAGAGAGAGAATAAGAAGAGAGAGAGAGAGAGAGAGAGAGAGAATATAATAGATAACATCTAGACTAGCTATACACTCTACACACCATAAGAAATGGCTTATGTGAATTCATGCATTTTATTTCAATAATTTAAACTTTATTATTATTATTATTATTATTATTATTATTATTATTATCATCATTTTTTTATTTGATTTTTTTTAATATATTGCATATTTGAAGTAATTTGGCAATACTGTACTAAATGTCATGCCAATAAAACTTGAACTTGAATAAGAGAGAGAGAGAGAATAAGAGAGAGAGACTTTGACTTTAACAACCTCTTTATTTACAACCACTTTTTTAACACATCAATGAAAAATCACAAAAAGTAAAAAAAAAAAAAAAAAAGGAAAATGTATATATATATATATATATATATATATATATATATATATATATATATATATATATATATATATATATATATAAGAGCTGGTTAACTCACAATCATTCACCAATCAAACAAGTATTTCCAAACAACCATTTTGACCAACTTCACAGAGGGATTGATTAATACACCATTTAGATCTAAAAGTGTCCAAATCATCAATCTTATAATACGCATATTCTATTTTAATACAGGATTTAATAAGTTCCCTAAAAAAAAAAAAACATCAGTCAAACCCAGACCAGTCAGTTTCCTTTTCCGTGACAACCAAATAGCCAATTTTGCTTTTCCAAAAATAAAACTTAATAAAACATGGATTTGCATCTTGTTCCTGTTGTATTTAGGCCCATAAACTAAAAGACTAGGCGTAAAAATCTCTCCCAACATTTGACAGTTTCCATTTAGTTGATTAAAGAACATTTCTAATCTAGAGTAATTTAAAAATAAGGGAAACACTGTTACTTCCACATTGCAAAAAGGACACCCCTCCCTCACCTGTGGATCAATGTGTGCTCTGTGTCTGTTTGTGGCTATTATACCATGCACTATCCTCCACTGAAGGTCTCCAGACCTTTTTTCAATGGGTTTGTACAGGGTCCTCCAGCAACCTTTGGGGGAAGAATCTGCTCCAAAAAGAGTCTGCCACTTTGATTCCTTCACGCTTTCAAGCATGTGGAAATGCAGTACTTTTACACTAAGAGTATAGAGAGTTTTTTTCCCCTGCATCTTCAAAACGACTTGGCTGAGGTGTTGTAAGAGAAGTCCTCCTTCTGTCTCCTGTCATTCTCCTGTATCCACTGAAAGAATTAACTCTGGAAATACAGAAGCGTCCTCCTCCAAAGTCATTCTAATGTCCACTGAAAATTTTTCCCATATTTCAATCAACAGTCTCTCAGCCACCCAAACTGATCTCATGCCCAATCTTAAGGCTAAGGCCTTAGCATTTATCCATTGTCCTTCAGAAACCAAATGTCCAATTTTAGTGATTTTTGCTGACCACAAAGCTTATCTGAAAGAATCAGATTTAAAAATATCCAGGTCCATAGCAGAATTAAAAAAGGAGTGGTTCTTCTCTTAACCAGAGGCCCCAAATATTTCTGAGTTCTCTTGAAACCTTAAATCATAACTATGTTCTCAGCAGTAATCTGTAAAAAGCTGTTAGACCAGTTAAATTCAGCTTGTTAGTGTCCATTAAAAATAAGTGACGATCCAGATCCACGTTACCAGCTTTCTTTAAAAGTGCACAGGTAACTCCTGCCCAACACACGTCCTTCCCATAAAGCAACCTCGGAGCTGTCTGAAGTCTAAAGGCTTCAACTCTGGATCCAATATCCACAAGTCCTTGTCTGCCTTCCTGGATAGGCAAGTATAAAACTGATACCCTCAGCCTGACCAGAAAAATTCTATGAGTTGCTTTTGGATCCTTGACACCAGGTCCTTGGGGGGCTCTAAAATCATAATTTTATGCCAAAGAGATGAGGCCACTAAGGCCGTACTCACACTATGTACAGTTGCCTCGAACCGGGCCAAAGCACGCTAGTCCCCCCTCCTGTCTCCACTGACGGCCCGCACTTACATTACAATCGGGCCTGGGCACGCATACGTCATCGATGATGCGCTGTTCAGTAAGCGCTTTCGCTCAGCACAGTGAAGATTTCTCTAGTCGTTTAAGTTGTTTGATATGCAGTGACATGCAGTCAAGTATTTCGCCAAACAGTTCTTAGGGATGTGGTGACACGCAGTCAGATATTTCGCCGAACAGATCCGCCAATTTAGGCGCTCATAAACAATCATAAAGTCATCATGCTGCAGGAATGAGGTGCGCAGCTGTCGTGCAGTGAGGGGTTTGCGTTTCAGTTTCGGGCTTTGCGTTTCAGTTTCGGGCTTTGGCGCGTTTTGCACTCACACTACAAGCATACCACACCAAAGCCCAAGTGAACCGCGCTAAGGCCCACCTCTTCCAACCGGGCCAGGGCCGGCCAAGTGAACCGTGCATGAGCCCAATTCAGAGCACTCACACTTCTTAAACGATCC